CACACCAAAATGTTAAGCAGTTATCTCCAGGTGATAAAGCTGCAGGTAACCCTTTTTTAACTTATGTTTCCCAAATGTCATACAAGTATGTTTTATAGTAAAAAATATAATACAAGGAATTTTACTCCATTCTTGTGTACCCATTCTATATTTATCTCAATTCAAATTTGTGAAAATCTTTCTCTTATATTGTGTAGCAAAGTGGTGGACATCAAAAGATTTTTAAAAATGAATAGAGAGTCCACAAAAGTAGTTTATCTTCCTCAAAAGTTCTGCATAAATTATAGTATTACAGAAGAGTTTATTGCTTAAACATTTTGCAGTTAAAGCCACTGTCTTCTGTGACGTTATACCTTATTTAACTCTAGTAATAATTTCCACTTTAGAAAAAAAATTCTGGGCTTTTGAGAAATGAGAAATGTAATTTGATTTGTAATTTCCAGACTTGGGAACACAAAGTTTGCTAAAAACAGAAAAATGTGAGACAAATGTTTTAGATCATACCAATGTTTTAGATTCAATGAATCTCTCTTTAGTTTGGAATAATTGAATGGGATCAAAACTAAAATATGATAATGAACTAGAATCTAGTTTAACATCCCGGTCTCCCAATCATAAATTAATTTAAAATTTTAAGTTAATACCTAGGGAGTCTGTTTTGCTAAGCCTTGTTCCGGGAACATGCATAAAAGTGATAATAAAATTATAATAATATAACACAGGAGAGGGGTTCCAGGGCTTTGTTATTAGATTGACAGAAGATCCATTATAAGTTTCCAATATATTTTAAGCTAAAGTGAGCTCAGAGTTGTCAGGCTGATTTTATTTAATGATGAGCAAATCCAATACTATTTATTGGAATGTTGCTTTGTTGTTTAAACAAACGATGACATAAGTAATCACACCATCCTGTAAGTTTCCTGCACCCTGAAGGTACTGGATACAATTATTGTGTCTGGAAGCATACTTTTGGTAAAAATTATCAGAAATAAATAAAATGTCCAAAGAGAACAAATCCTCTTAAGGCCAAAAGTTTGTGTTAACCAACTGCTCCTGAATAAAATGAAGGTTATAGGAGCTTTTTATAAAACACTTCCTCTCAAAAACCTTAGTATTCACCAGATGATGTAACCAAACAGCGTTAAATACAGATAAGACAGAAGAGCATTTATTATTGGTGCTACAGTCCAGCTTTCACTATTCATACAGTGATTTCAATTTAACTCAACAATTTTGGAGTCCCTATTATGTCTCCTGCACTGTGCTCAGACAGTATGAACAAAAAAGATAACACAAGGTTCCTACCTTTGAGAAGCTCTATCTAGAAAATTACCTTCAGATTACTCAGATGCGGGGGATAACCTGAATCCCTACATTACCCGCCACTGTCGTGCCAAAGCTTTGCATCCCACATTCTTCAAATGAGCTGATTTTCTCTCATTCCTATGCTCAGATTTATCCAGAGCAACCCACTGCCTCCACAATAGCTAAATCAATAGTTATTAGCCATTCAGGAAAGTCAATGACTAGTATGAGATTCTAACTAAAGATATGGACTTCCTCCTCCAGAAACATGCGCAGAAATGCATACACCATATACTTCGTTTCACTGCACTGGAAGCTGATTTCCTGAACATAAGCAATATTTATAAAGGGTTATGCCTCCTTTCTCTTTTGAAAGAAAAATGACTGTTTCCTGGAAAAAAAAAATTAGAAAATTCTGACTGTTCTGCAGTACATCTCAATGAGATTTAGTTTAAATGAGTTGAAATTGTGCTTTGGCTTTTGACATAGCAACATAGGCTTCATCTTTGATAATCCATTACAGCTTCTTCCCTATGGCAACAAGTGCTGAAATCCTTGACTCACAAAGGTACATATTTAATAGAATGAAAGCAGAATCACATAGAATGCAATTTGCCAGGTTAAGGTGGCCTGCATACTGTATCACCAAATTCCTCCAAGACTTTCAAGTTAGACTCAAGTCACATTATTTCCTCTGCCTTCAAGTTCAATTAGACTTCTGGAAAGTCCGCAGATTTCTGTCTGGTTAGAGAAAAACATCTGAACCTGCTCCTATTTCTTGGCAACACCTTTTGGAAAGGTGGTGACAGCTGCTGATATGGAAAGTACTGAGACACAATGACGTGCGGCAATCCTTTCCTCATCAAGCAGGAAAACCATGCTGTGTTCCTGACATCACAGGTGCACCAGCTTCCCCCAGAGTGCAATTTTTCTTCTTCCATTTGAATATTTATTGAGAAAGATTATTTTGAAGATGTTGACAGTCTTTCCAGTTTCCAAAAGGTGTTCTAAAATGGAGTTCTTTTGATGACATCAGCAAGCACATGAAAATGTGAAGCTGGATGCACTGAGAGGCATCAACAGTTTCATCCAGTTGCATGCTGAAGAGAAATATGCAGAGATGCCCATTTCTTCCAAGTCTGAAGTGAGTGATGTCATTTGACAGAAGTAGGGCCTCAATTTTCTTTCATGGACCACATTTAAGAACCTTTGAGTCAAACTATTTGATTCCGCACTCCCCTTACACTATTGTTTCCCACCTCTGTACTTTTGTTCTTGGCATTTCACCCACCAAAAAATGTTTTCTCCCGGCTCTCATCTATTCAAATCCTGTCCATCTCTCAAGACCCAGACCACAGCCAGTCTCTTTCATTAAGCTTTCCATGATTACTGCAGCCTGAAATGATCTATCTCTCTTCTGAACTCTGACAATGGTTCCTATCTTTGACAGTTCTCAAAATGTGGTTCTGAGACCACCACCTTCAAAAATACGCCATAATATGTATTTTTACAAGCACCAGAAAGAGCTGTAGTAATTTCTACCATTTTCCCGAATCTTCTTTGCGACTCTTAAAAGAAAAACTCACTTCCCAGATGGATGGAGAGAAGACTGACAATGATTGTTTTTACTGGGGTGACCAACTGACTCATCTGAATCATTCCTTTCTGTACTCATTTTCACACAAAATGTTTTGATTTGTCAGTTGTGTATCTGTCAGGTCTGTAGTGTCATTGCTGACTGCTGAAATCTTACATTTACCCATGGATTTTTCAATCACAACCTCCCAGTGTCATGGCCATCCTTCTAAGGATTCAGTGCTGCTACCATTTTCAAAATAACTTCACACTCTATGAGAAACAATTTAAGCAGAGCTTAAAATGAAGGCAAGCACAGTTAGATGGACATGGCTACAACTGACATCATATACTCAAATAAGATATAAAATCAAATGTATTCTGGAACCGAGCAGCAACTTCAAGGTCATCTCTTCCAACAGATTCACATTACAGATGGGGGAAATGTGGAGAATGGGGTATTTCAGAGCAAGAAACTGAAATTTAAAAGAATAAAAATCTTAAAGTTAAAACAATAGCAAAATCACATACAGTCAAAGGCACTGTCCTAATTAGCTCATGGATTCAACATTAAGGATAAATAAAATTGAATAATTAAATGAAAAGAATTAAAGGATGAAAATAACTCAAAATGCAAAAGATGGATCACACTCATCTATAAAAATGGCCCAAAAGACTCTTTGATATTACAAGTAACAAGATGACTTGGACTCAAAACCAGTTATGCTTATTCATAATAATAGTTATCATGTACTTACTGTATACCAGGAATTGGGCTAAGTGTTCTACATATGCTAATCAGCTCAACTGTATTAAATTCTAATTGAAAAAAAGTATCAAAAGAGAAAGTCTACAATAGCTCTGTAGGAAAAGAAATGAAGAAAGCAAAAGCTGGCCATGCATCTGCGGCCTGGACCAGTAGAAAGGATGCTCTGCATATTGAACAATATCTGATCTGAGTGGCAGTTGCATTCCTATGGGGAAGATGAGTGTGTTGCACTACCAGAGCTTGCTGACACTGGTTGCTGAGAGCTGATTCAATGCTCGCCAAGCAACTTTCTGATTATAATTTATTTTTCCATGTAGATTTGCCTATTGGGAGAAAATGCACTGAACCATAAACACGAGAAACCACTGTGCCTGACACTTCGCATCACAAATTAAAGAACTGAATTGTGGTATTTATACATTACTATCTATGAAGCTGATTAAAGTGGTGCAGTCTTCTAGTACCTAGTTACCTCTCTGGATGAACCAATAATCAGGGTCAGCCTTAGTAAGTGGTGGCCACATCAAAGTTACCTGTGAGGCCTGGCAGGGAGGCCAGCCTGCCCTCTGTCCTGCTGTCTGCCTTCTTTGAACAGCAAAATCCCACATGATTAAACACATACACACACACACACACACACACACACACACACACACACACCATTTTAATTAGAAACGGAAATGATGGGAAAAGGAGGAACAAAATATAGTGTTTATCCATGCTCTAGAGCACTACCTTGTGAGCTTAGTTTTTACAGCAGAGAAGGCCAAAGTGTTTTTCTTTTCCAATGGCACTGATAAGTACTTATTTTGCTTATTAAAAGAATCAGTCACCTAAGCAAAAAGAAAAAGTTCAAGTAGAACTTGGACATATAAATTTTTACCAAAGAATAAATATAAAAATATTTCAGATGTTCACAAATATATGCAATACATCATTACTTAAGGGTATTGTTTCCTTTTGGGATGTTTTGTTGACCAGTTTTTGTTTCCTGACATCATCTCTATAGGAGAGAAACTTATAAATATAGCAGGATCCTAACATGACTTATCACAATTCTTGACAAGACTTTTAGTTCATTATCTTACATCAAGAATTCCAAAGTCGAAATGCAATAAGAACCATTAGGACCCTGTGTTCAGGGTTGAGGACAACACATGTAAAAGCTGCAGTAATGCTATGAACATCAAGAATACGATCTTACTTATTCAACTACTGAATTTTAACTATGATGATGGTGTTATGAAAATATATTTTTAGTCTGATTAACTTTTTTTCCAATCAACAATGGTTGGAGTCTAATACTTTTTCAAACAGAATTACCAAGTATACAATACATTGAGAAGGCCTGCCATCTTTAGGAAGAAAGCAGAATTACTGACTAATTATCTAACATGAAGTTCAAATATAAGTACTCAACCTCTATGAATATTATCATGGACATTTGGCATGGAACACATTTTTTAATGGATTTGTCTTTTGTGATACAGTTTGGTCCATAAGATCTAAAATCAAACAGTTCTGACAGGCTCTATTTTTCTCTGAGAATTAAAGCAATAATTGCGCTGATAGATAAGTTGGCCAAAAAAAAAACCCAGAATGATCAAAATTAATGGTGTATTTTTATATAGATGATCATGAATCATATCCAGATAAAAATATATAGTTACAAACTGTTTTGAGAAACAAATGAAAAACTATTTCTGTGATATAAATTTGAGGTTGGAGATTTTAAAATTTAGAAAATGAAACAAACATTTGTGGTTTGACATTTATAACATCATTGCTTCTCACTGGCCTTGAGATAAACTGTTTGTACAAACCGTACAAATTTTTACACAAGTCTGTGTAAATGATTTCCCTGAAAACTTCATCTGCCAATTCTTTCTCAAATGGAAAAGTAAATGTACAATTAGCTATTTTTGGTAACCAGCAGTAACAGCTATTTATAAATTTCCCTTATAATTTTTTAACTTTCAACATTATTTATCATAAATCAGTGACCCTCTCTTCCTGAAAGAAATGTGAAATACTACATCATGTTGCATGTGAGGTACTCAATATGCTAGAAATAAATAATTAATAACTCTGTCCATTCATATTAATAAAAAAAGTTGTTTAATAATAATAAGCGGTATAGTAAAATGGAAAGTTCATGGACCAAGGAACAAAAAAATCCCAGGCTCTACAATTTTCAGACATTGTTAAGTAAAAAAAGGCAAGGTGCAGAAAGGTATGTATAAGATGCTATCATTTGTGTGAAGGACAATGTATATATTTCCTTGATTTTACATACATGAACTAGCTCTTGAAAGTCCAAGAAATTGGTAACTTCTTGCCTCTGGGGAAGGTAATGGAAGAACTGAGAGATGGGGTAGGGAAAAAACTTACCTTTCACAGTATTCCTTTTTGTACTTTTTAAAAACATGTTATTACATATTAAAATAATCTTAAAGAGATAGCTGGCTTCTATTCCTGACTTCTTCATCAGCTACACATTTGACCTTGTGCAATCACTTACCTCAATTTTCTCCATTTTAAAATACTAAATCTCTAGATTCTCCATGTACAACTCAACAGAATTATGGCTCAATCGAAGGTATATACAAAATATCAGGTGGTGAAATAAAATAACTATTAGCCTTAATTTGCAAAGACTTACTCTTCTTTTTATTCTGTATTGAAAGTAAAAGTGTGGTTAACCCACTTTTTAACATATCCAAACTACTGCTTCTGAGATACACACTCTCAAAACATTTCAATTATTGAATAAATATTAAATGTAAGTATAAAGAGATAGAATTTTTGTGGTAGAGTTTCAAAATTGAACCTGAGACAGGAAAAAGCTGAAAATCACCCATATATCTCCAAAAAATTATCCCAAGAATCTTCTAAAAATCACCCATATTTATAAACAGAAGATACTAAAAGAACCAGAGAAGGCCAAGAGTAGAGCAATAGAAAGCTTAGACCAGGAAAAGTAGGACATGAAGAAGACATTACAAAAAAGAAATCAAAACTTACTGATACCTTACAGAACAGGGAGAATGGGGACAGGCCTGGTGATCCATTCTTTCATAATTCTACATGCTGCAGGGTAAAACTGCTAGCCTTGGGTCTCAAAGGGCTTAGAGTCTAATCTGGGGGGGGAGCAATATAATTAATAATGCAATAATAACACAAAGGATAGAAGTAAAAAATAAATGGTAAGGTAAATGTGAGTTTATCAGAAGAGGTCTCCATGAGTTGGAACTGTCAAGAACAGATTCATAGACGAAATAAGACTTTGAAGTCTGTGTAATAAGCAAAGTGGTGGTGGCAGCATGGATAAAATGAAGAAGTCAAGCAAGGAGAGTCAGTTCTAGTAGGATGGGAGCAGTAATCGTAGATAACAGGGTGATGAATTTACTTTTAGGCATAGTTTGATTCTAAACAGTAACTTGGCTAAAAATGTTAAAATTTTTTCAAATGTTGGGTTGCCAAATTTTCTTTATAGAATACTACATAGGAATGGTAACATGCTAGTAGTATATCAAAACTGGCTGACTAGGCAAGATCAACACATATCTAGATCCAACTTTTTAATAAGCAGGGCCCTGAGGTATGAGAAAATCACACTTATACAGGATGTTTGGTAACCATCTTCCAGCATTTTCTTGCAGCTACCTAATATTATTTCCTAACACAACTTTCATACTCAGGAATCAACTCCACCCAAAAAACACAAACCAGGAAATCAAGAGGTGCCAGTTTTACTTTGCCATTGATTAAGCTTGTGAATTGGGCCTGGGTGATGAAATTGAGTGCTGTGGGTTTTAACTATATGAAAAAATGTCGAAACAAAATAAACCAAAAAAACCATCTGTCAGTGATCTAGTGATTTTGTAAAGCTAAAGCAAAGATGTATAACCACTTAACTTCTAGCAAAACACACACTATAAACTCAAGATATTTGTTATTACATGGATAAAAAGGTGTGTGTGTGTGAGAGAAAGAAAGAGAGAGAGAGAGTGTGTATGTTGTTATTGGTAGCATACTGATAAACCTTGTAAGAAATTTCTAAAAATGTATTTCTAAAATGTTGGCATAGGGCAAGAAAGAATATCAACAAATATAAAGAAGGCTATAAAGCAAATGAAGTCCTCAATGTAGAAAGCATATATTCTAAAATTCTATTCTACTTTTTATTTTTGTTATAATCCTTCAAACACCCAAATACACATATCTTCATCAATAATCTCTTAGTGATTTACTGGGGTGTGAATGAGAATATAGAGCCTTGCCAGGAAAAAAAAAACTGATGTTTAAACAAATTTATTTAAAATGAGAGACTTGAAACAGGTAAAAGTTTATGGTTAATATAATTGTGTGTTACAGCAGTGTGCCTTGTATTATTTGATGTGGATATTAGGCTTTAATGCTAATACCCATCATTGATTAAAGTATAAATAACAAGAAAGAGAAATCATTTTCAAAGCATTAAAACAAAAAACTTTAAAAATATGTGTGTGTGTGTTTACTATAGATCATAAGGGAATAACAAAAATTGTTTTATTATAGCTATCCTCTTCTAATTCAGATCTGTCATTTCTATTATTAACTTCAGTTTTTAGGAGTTATAACTCAGCCATAACATTTACTGTATTGAAACTTGACAAAGTCTCCTGGGAACTCTTTCCTTTAAAGGCATATTTTAAAAGTTAATGCCAAAAAAGTTGGATACAGACCAATGGCATCTTGAGTGGTATACAGACCTATGCTTTATTTATTAAATCAATGGTTTCATCCCAAGCAGGGCTGATTTCTGAAAAGTCATCTTGCACATCCTCGTAAGTACCCACTGGCCTGGGGATGCGTGGTGGTAAATAGGCTGCTTCATTTCACTTTTAAGGAGACAAAAATTTCCACTTTAATACTAGTGTTTTCTAGATGGCAAGATCAGAAACAGTTTTATTGTTATGCTCTTCCTCCAGAAAGGAGATGGAAACGGGAAAAACCAGTGAGAGCCACAGGATGACGATGTAGGATCTACATTTCGTTAAATATTCACCAGTCAAAAAAGTGCAGCTTTGCAAAGTATAATTAATATATTTAAATCATCTGTTCAACCTTTAATAGTACCTTTATTCCCTTAGACTCTGGCTATGGATACTAAATTGCTTAAGTTTCTCGTATGGATTATGTCAAATTCTATCAGGATCAGCCAGATGGCTTTCTCCTAGTTTTCCTTGACTAGATTAGGCACACAGACATAGTACCTGCCTAGATCAGAGGCATGGGAAGTAAATCATGAAAATTCCTGGACAGATCAAAGCTACGGGACTCAACAAATAAATCTTATTTAGTCCAAGAACACTAATAAATTGCTTTATTTTTAAAATAAGATTTTTCCTTTTTCAAGAAATAATCTTTTAAAATAGGTCTTACAGATTTTATCTTAAAACCTCTCTGAATACAACACATAAATTAATTCATATTGCCTAATACTATTACAATTTAATTATTCAGTACTTCTCAGAGTAACATTAAATACACGTTATATTACATATTTTATATGGGGATGGGGGTAACACAGAGAGAGAGAGTGAAACAGAGCTACCCAAATACCTGCTCCCAAATGAAAAACTAAAATAGATAGGTATTATCATAAATCACATAATAAATGAAAAGAATCCATGTAGTAGTATAATATGTTGATTCTATTTATTCTTCCTGGCAATCCCTTCAAAGTCTATGGCTTCAACAACTACATGAACACTAATGACTTCTAAATCTCTAGCCCCTGGGCAATTTCTATCTTGACCTCTAACCTGTATATCCTACTTCTATTAAGCATCTCCAATTAGATGTCCCACTACCACCTCAAACTCAACATACATATCTAAAATTTAATTCAGCATTTCCCCCTGGAAAAGTGTTCTTCTTCCTCCTGTATTCTTTGCCTTGAAGCATGGTGCCACCCACCTGCTCAACAAGAATGCCTGAAACTGAATCATACTAGATTCTTTCTTCGTCTCCACTGCCTGGAAAATTTCATTTCTGAAATAATTATTTCACCTGTATCCTTTTCTATAGTCTCATTGCCAAAACCTGAATTTACGTCCTATCACTCTTACGTAGACTTCTGAAATAGTCTCCTAATTGATTTCCCTCACACAGTCCTACATCCCCACCTCCACTCCAATTCAGTTCCCTTGGTGCTATTATATGTCCCTGTTTATAATCTTTCAACAGTACTCCTAATCTTGAAATACAGTTCAAACTATTTACTTGGTACATAAAAGCCTTGTTGATTTGTCCATTTCCCTGTCTCATACTCCTTCCCTTAATCTACATGTGATTTCATGTCTCTGTACCTACATGGAAACTTTTTCTGCCTATCTCTTTCAAAACTCAAGAATAAATTTAAGAATTATAAGTCTTTCCTAACTCTTCAGTGTGCCTTAATATTCCACTTCTGTGTCCTTAAAATGTATTCCTCCTCCATCATACTTGAAGAGGAACTGCACTGCTTATCTCTGTACCTTACTCAGTGCCTCACATGAAGCAGGAGCTTATCTGTTTACTGACTGAATGAAATAAGTCAATGTAAGACAGTGAAATCTGAAGAATACTCATGGAATGCTTTAACTTTTGATACTGAACAAGCTCTGCCAAAAAAATTGTATAATTTAATTTGCTTATTACTAATCTGTCCCCTATCATATTTTTAAATAATTTATTTCATCTTCTACTCAATAAAGCGTGCTAAGTTGAAATCTTCAACCTTTAAAAGGCAAATACCTCATTTCAAACACAACTAGTCTTACAAGTAATAAACTCTTTAATTAACATGTAATACAAAGGCCTGCATTACTCAAGAGACTAAAAGGAATTTGGGTTAATTCAACCTAGCAAATACCTGTTTGCCTGCATATCTAGGACACCATCTACGCATCAGTAGCATGTAAACAATTCTAGCTGTCACCACCCCACAGCCCCCAAATCAACTACAGGCACATCAGTAAATCTGTCACGTATGCCCCAGTATCCCTTCAGCTTCCTATGATCAACCCAGTAAGGTTTGGGTTATTTTTAATTCTTAGCAACAAAGTTAATTTAGTTATTTAGAAGCTATAACATTATTTCCACCTCTGTATGGAACATACCAAATTAAAATTCTAACAAAGAGGACCTGAAAGCAAAATATTTTTAAGTAAATAAATTAAAGTTATTTTTAAAATAGGGCTTATTCAAAAACAAACTTGTCAGTCAATGCCTTAAAAACGATAAACACACCTAGTCCTAACAATATCATAACGAAAATTAAGCACGTGTAATCTTCAGAGTTGAGTTTTATTTTTAAGAGGCAACAGAGTCTCTGAACAGATGACTTGCTTCTTCTACTTTTATTTGACCTCAAAGGACCATAGCTGACAGGAGGATAGGAAATGAGAAATTACTTTTAGATTCAGGTTTATCATTTATCTGATGGTCATTGGAAAAAAAGGACAAAGTTTCATCCTCTGCATACTGAAACTTTAATGGAAGACAATATCCAAAACAAAACTATTTTAGACTGGATCTAAAGCCCATTACACTTGTCTTATAGAATAAGCAAGAGTAGGAACAGATACACCACACTTAAATGAAAAAAAAAAGGAAATCTTTTAAAATGTAGGTGGTTATTATTTATAGCCTTATTGTTCAAAGTGTGGATCATGCACCATCAGCATGAACATCACATGGAGCTCGCTGGCACTGGAAAAAAAGTCACACCCAGAGCTCCTGACTCAGAATCTGCATTTTAACAAGGTCCCACATGATCATATGTTAAGGTTCGAGGTTCTCTGGTTTATATAGTTGAGTAGTTCTGGCTATCCCATCGAATTACCTGTGTAGTTGGTACAAAATATATAGGAGCTTGGACACTACCACCAGAAATTGCAATCTGATAGATGTGGAGTCAGCCAGACATCTGCATTTTTTCAAAATTTTGTCGGCTATTTGAATTCATATCCTGATTAAATAACCAACCACTAGTGTAATCAAAAGAATTGTGGCTTTACCAAAGTACAGAACTCCTTTAAATACCAAACTCCTTTACTCTAGTACACTGAAAATAACATTTTATATATTCATGTTTCAGGCACTCTACTTTGTAAAACAGACAAATGTTAATTTATATATTTACATATAATCCTTTATAGGAGATTCAATAATCTCTCCTACAGAAAAGTTGAGGTCAACTCAGATGTATGCCCTTCTCCAAAGAGACCCAAACTGATTCTTTGCTGGAACAAAATAAATTTGAAATCACAAGGTATCACTAGCGCATAATATTACTTGTGATTTTTTTTAACATGGTAAGTCATCCAAGAGGGAAACTTTTATTTATACTAACAGCAACTCAAATACTCAATTCAATCAACAACAAAGTTAAAATAAAGAGTCAAAAACATGAGAACTAAAATATGAAAAAATACTTTCAACAACAAAGTTAAAATAAAGAGTCAAAAACATGAGAACTAAAATATGAAAAAATACTTTTATCAGTGTCACTGATATCACTACAGGTATGTAATGAAGCATGCAAATGTGTACTTGGGAGTATAATTAAGTTAGGAATAAAGACATAAGTTAGTATTGCTTCTCATCAATAATGAGCAAAGAAGACTGATCCTGGCATGATACTGGAGCAGTTTTGCAGGTCACTTAACCAATAGCCTCCATCCAAAATGCATTCCCTCCACAAATTCTATTGCTCACAAACTGTGTACTCGGTACTGTGTTCAGCACTCAGGACACAAGGACACAGCCCTGCCTTCAAGGGCCTTTTTCAGTCTAGCTGGGGAGACCCAAATAAACAGGTAATTACAAAACACGGCACTAACTGCCACAACAGGAGAGGGAGAGGGTGGGATGAGTATATTGAAGGGTACTCAGCTGCCTTGGAGAGACAGGGAGGGTTCCAAAGAAATGAGTCCTGAAAGAAGAGAGGTGGGTAATACAAGAGGACATTCCAAGCTGAGGTCTTGGAAAAAAGCGCATGAATTTGCACTTTGAAAATCACTCTAAGGCCAGGTGTGGTGGTGCGTGCCTGTAATCCCATCGCTTTGTGAGACCAAGTCAGGAGGATTGCTTGAGGCCAGGATTCGAGACCAGCCTGAGCAACACAGAGAGACCCCATCTCTACGAAAAATAAATAATAAAAATTAGCCAGGTGTGGTGGTACAGGCTTGTATTCCAGCTACTCAGGAAGCTGAGGAAGGAGAATCACCTGAGCCTAGGAGAAGGAGGCTGCAGTCAACTAGGATTATACCACTATGTACTTCATCCTGAGTGAAGAAAAGGAAAAGAAAAATCACTCTGGCCTCAGACATGAAAAAAGCCTAGACTTATAAAATTCTTGAGAGTAATCAAGTCGTATTTTTCCTCAAATCCTAAATGTTTAGTACAGTCCTTGGCATAAAGTAGTTGCTCAAGTGTAGATGGCTGAATAAACAGGTGAATGGAATTACATATAAAGAAATTTAAAATCCAATAAAGTTTAGCCCATGAACTATATTCATGAATTCACTAATATTTATTCATTCCATGTGTTCTAAACATAACCTATTCTTGATGACTTTGGATGAACAAACTCAGCTTACATCGAAAAGTATATCATTTGGAAAGGTTCTCATTCAACACAGTTTCGTTATTAAGCTTTAGAACTTAAGGCAAAACTGCTGTTACCAAGTAAAAAGCTTAAAGCAAAACTGTGTTGAACATGATTCTCTCCTAAGATGCTGAATAGATGAAAGCCACACAGTGAAGGCCCTATATAAGATGACACCTCAGGCCTCAACGTGTGCACAATTCCAACAGAGATAGAATTATTCCAAGGCCAAGCACAGAGATACAATTATTCCAAGCCCCAGTGTAAGAACTACCTTTCCCAAAAAGCTTTTTGCGGAAATGCCCAAAAATAATATTCAGACCAGGAAAAAAATCTAGTAATCTGTTACTTGATTGGAATTTCCTCAGAAATACAAATTGCCTCCATCAGACAAGTGTGACACTAAAACTGCTTTGATTGAATCACCATCAAGCCTGGTTCCATCCTCTGATTAAAAAGGTTCCACAGTGCCCTCACTAAAGTGTCAGTGTGGAGTAGTTAAGTTGCTCACTCTCATCTTTAGGGAAATAAATGCAAAAAGCAAAAGGGAGAAACCCACTACTATTTTAAACTACAGATTAAGGTCTGTGAGAATGTAGTAAGAGTCTAGGACCCTGTAACTTCCCTGCCTTTGCTTCTTGGTATCTGTTTGCCTGTACTGCCTGTACTTTGCTATTATCCATTAACTCATTCAACAGATATGTTTTAAGTGTTACTATGTCCCAAGCATTGTGCTAGGCCTCAGGGTCTACATAACTCTCCCTAGTCCCTTACATAAATCTCTCCAGTGGGAAGAAAGACATTAAACAAATCAATGCACAAATATAAACATAATTACAAATGGTATTAGATGACAGTAGGAAAGGAACATGAAACAAACAAGGAAGGCAGACATACTTTATCTTTATTTAGAAGTGACATTTGGCAGAGACCTGAAAGATAAGTAAATTAGTCAAGTGATGAATATACAGTAACAACAGATCTGTGTTTTAGGAAGATATTTCTAACAACACAATGGAAGACAGATTAGAGAAGGTCAGTTAAGAGACTACTGCAATAGTGAAGGTAAGTGATAACAAAACTACTAAGAGTAGAGATGGGAAGGGGAAGCAAATGTGAAAAACATGCAGAGGCAGGATGGATAGGCATTGATCACAGATTAGGGAGAGTATAAAAGAAAGAAGTTAAGGCATTTGCCAGGATTCCAACTAGCATAGGTAACCGGAAGGGTAGGGTTAGAATAACTGAGACAAGGAGCACATAGGGAGGAACAAATTTTAAAAGGAAGATAAGTTTGGATTACTGAGTTTTTTGTTGCATTTAAGATACCGGTGACACATTCATGTGGAGATGTCTGATATGCAGCTTTGAAAACAAATGGTCTTAAGGAGAATGGCCAGACTAGAAAACGGACCAGGAGTCATCTTTATAGAAGTGGTAAGTGACACGATGGGAATAGAGGAATCACTAAGAGTATATAAAAAGAATAAAAGACATTAAGGAAACCTTAATCCATGTTTGAAGACCTAGTAACAAAACAAAAGTCAGTGGCAAAAGAGAAAGTATTAAATTTCACAGAAACATCAATCCAGTAAACATTTATCAACACCCACCATGTTCTAGGTACTATGCTAGACACAGGGGTATAGAAAAAAAAGACAGGACCCCTACCCTTAAGAAATGTATAGCTTAGAAAAGAGAGAGAAATAGATTATTTCAAGAGAGTTATAAATGGGGCACCACAGAGACACAGAAGGGAGACACCCAGGAGGTCAGGGAAAACTCACTGATGTGAGGCATTGAGATTAAATAAAATTATGCAAAGAAAGTTGGTAAGGGCAAACCAAATGAAATCAAGACAATGCTCCTGGACTTCTAAAATACTGAGTAAGATAACTGGTTTAGGAAAGAACTTGGTTGGAAGGAGTCAAAAGAGGCTAAAGTGATTTAAACTGGAAAGAATAATCTGTTCTTGGAAGAAAATAAACATAGAATATGAAAAAAGGGGACAAGGGACAAGGGGTTTTTGGCCAAAAGGGTACAAGTTTTGGGTCAACTGTTACAAAAGAGAGATTGAAGGTGCCAAGCTGTGTAAGGATTTGGGAAGAAAGGTGGGTAAAGAGAACTTATTTGAAGTTTGCTGAGCTTTATTTAATTGTGTATTTCTATCTCATTAGAAGATTTCACTAAAACATTACAGAAGTTCATTACTTTCCAAAGGTTTGGGGCTTGTCTGCTTCTTTTGAATGCAATACTGGAACTGGCCCAAAGTGACCCAGTTATACGTGACCATGAATATGTGGAAAAGGTAAATTTGTAAGCACTAATGGTTGCAGAGGTCAAGCATAATGTAAAGAGAGAAGTCACTCGATTTCACATTTATGTGGTGACCTTCAAGTGAACTTTCAACTGAAATATAGGGGTAGAAAAAAATTACAGATGGTTCACAAAGTGAATGGCATAGCCATGGCTCTAACACTGTTCATTCATTCAAAAAAATATTTACTGAATGCCTATGATGCACTAGGAACTAGCGTGGGCTTTCGTGAATCAACCATGATCAAGAGACAGATTTCTCAGAAGCTTACAGTCTGATGTAGAAGGAAAAGAAGGAAATAAACAATTACAGTGTGACAGAATCAAGACTAACACAGGGTAGTATGAGAGAACATGGAAGTTTGACAGACTAGATGGCAGTAACTAGGTTCAAGGTAGTACAGAAGTTTATTTTTTGACTGAAAGGAATTTGAACATGTTTGTAGGTTGAGGAAGAGGAGCTAGTGGACAGGGAGACAGAAGCTGGGGAGGGGTAAAGAGGAGGAGTTGTTGGAAGAAAGTCCAGTGAAGTAGACAGGCAAGGGTGGAAGTGCTGGACTTGGAACAGAAGAACAGCTCTTCCTCCAAAGAAGGGACAGCAGATAAAAAATAGTCCTGATGTGAAAAGAGAGCGTAAACAAATGTCCTCTACTTTTTGTCATGATATAAGCAAGATCTGACTTTTATAAAGGAAGCAAAGATGGGGCTGAAGGCTTAAGAACAGTGTGAAAAGTTTGAAACAGGCAAGGATAAATGAAATGATAACCAATCAACTCCACTTCTTAAGATTATGTAAATGAGAGAAAGCACCATCAATCAAGAATTGTAGGCATGCTTTGTTTGGATCTGGAAGTGGAACACGAAGTGAAAGGTGAGCTGCATTTCATGGAATTAGATTAAGTATGAATTAAACAAAGGTAAATATTAAGAATTATCAAGAAAAATCACTAAATGCATACCCATATAGCATGCAATTATATATGGGCTAATACTAATACAGTCCATGTAGCATACCATGAGTTTGAACCTGTCACTATTACTTAGTAGCAATGACATAATCTAGAAGGTTCACACAATGAAGGCAGGCAACAGAAACCATAAGTAACCAGAAATGAAGAGGAATCTCACATGTAGAGAAGCTATACAAATTAGATCATGTGATCGGAAAAGAAGTAAAAGCCAAGACAGACTATTGACTAATGATACGCCTGAAGATAACTGAAGTGTTGTTCCTGCCTTCCTTCTTTCTTCCTCCATCATTCTCTTAGTAACTGTTGTGTGCTAGGTACACTATGAGGCATTGGTGATACAAAGAAAACAATTCTTGCTTGTAAACTCAAAATACATTCCTGTACCCACAGCCTAAAGTTTACCAAAAAAAAAAAAAAGTGTCCTGAGTTTGCTATTCAAAACTACATATTGTTCAATAAGACATTAATCATGAAGAAGCAAAATAATATCATAAAAGATCAGCAAATTCTTGAATAATTAGCAAAAGGTTCCACCAAAAATGGCATCAAACTCCAGCATAAAGGCCCATAAAATAACGAAGTGCTCTAACTTAATAAACTTCTGTGTATCTTGGCCTTATCACAGATGTTACATTTGACTTTTCATTTAACGGTTGGATTATTGCCAACAAGAAGGCAACGAACATCAAATGGCAAAGCAAGATAACCAGAAGCTAAGTGTTAGAAAGTATTTCAGAAAGAAACTGATACAAGTTCAGTGATCACTACAACAGCAATATTTACTGAGCTCTTCCCTGAGCCAGGTATTGTGCTAAGTACATTACATACATCATTTAAGCTTTTATAAACTCCCACAATAAACATACCTATAAGGTAGTTTCTAATATAATCATTTTACAGACAGGAAAATTGAAGCTTAGAAAGATTTGGTAACTTGCCCACACTACAGAGCTAGTAAGCAAAGAAGCCAGGACTTGAACTCAGGTCTTCTTGACTCTTAAAAAATTTGTGCTTTAACCATTGTGTGATTGTTTCCCCAAAAGAATGGAATGATGCTAGGCATATGATGGATGCTGGATAGTGTCTGTCATTGAAGGAACGAATGACAGGATATAAAGCAGCCATTGCACAGTAAGCCCAAATGTGGCAAGCACAAATAGAAAAGCAGAAACAATACTTTGAGGATTCACTAAATCACCAACTCAAACTGTGCAGCATAATTGTGGATGTCTGGAAAATAGCAACTGACACAGTGGCCTAATATGCTGCTACAAAAAATGTGATGGCTCTTTCTGAGTGAAAACTTTAGGCTGTCTATGAATCTACAAAGCCAAAGAAAGAATTATCAGGCAGTTTAGAAAAGGAAAGGCAGATACTGATCAAAAGACGTTTTCTCAGTATGGAAAGGACTGCTGATATTGCATGGACATAACAGTCAAGATCACAACTTGCCTTTCATTCTGTCACCTTTCAAAAGAAAGAAAAACATGTACACTGGAAAGCTCATCACATTTTAGGACTATCATCTTTTAAAAGATTCCCACCAAAAGATTCCTACTATGGGGCCCAGGGCCATGCTTTATGCCACTGACTCTGCCACCATGATCACAAGTGACAGGACCAAGAGAGAGCAACTGTCCCAAGAGCAGCCAATCTACAGATTGACCAGCAACCTATGAAGGGGCCTGACATGAGAGATTTGCCCAACAGGCAATGTCTCTAACTGGACTAATTAGATTTCCTCTTATAGGAGACTGAACTCAAGCTGTACAGAAGGGGAAAGTAGCTGAAAGACATAGAGCAGAGGGCAGAACGAGGCAGTTACGACTATATTGAGAAGACACAGGGTAAGGTAATTCATTTAAAAAAAAAATAAAGCAGTCTGAAAAGGACTAATAGCAGCAGAGAAGCAATACTTCTGCTGCTCGAGGGCAACATCCAGACACTAGAGTTGCATTGATTTCTTTTTTTCTAATTTCTGTAACACCTACCTAGTTGAAATCTGAATGGTGAAGACAAGTTGTACAATTACCCTTGGATTCCTATAAGGCCTGGTCACTCACATCTCCCATATTACCCCAAATAAAGTCTTCTAATAAAACTCCCCTTAGAAGCTACCAAGTAAAATTCTGTGCTTGCAACTCAAAAAAAGAGCATAACATAACATTTGTATATATGGGTACATATGCACTCACACACCTCCAATTAGATGACATGGCAAGCCGGATGGTGGCTGGCAATCCAAGCATTGTAGGTCTGACTTCCATCTTGCAGCATTTGTGGTTTGAACAGTGTTACTTACCCCTAGTTAACTGTTCTAGACAGAAGGGCCTCTATCCTGAACCTTAAAAATTAACACCTCCTACCATTACAATTGTGCACTTTGAAATTAAAAAGATATCCAGGGCAGTTAAATAAACAAAACCAAAACAAAACCAAAAACTCCTTTAAAAATTTCTTGCCCTTATGTATGTGTAAATCTGTTTGTGGCCGAATTTTATGGGAAATAAGTGAAGTTGTTCTCTTAGAATCACAATAAACAATAGCTGATTAGTCAAGATGGCCAGGTAAAGAAAGGAAAAATCGGAAAATTGGGAAGACGTTTTGTGGAAAGTATAACTTCTAAGTCCGGAAAATTATTCGTTAAGTTTCACTAAACGTGTTCTTGTTTATCTCTGGGGGCCTCATTACCCTATCATCCTCTCAAAGCCTACCTACACAAAGAAAGGAGAATGAGGCTAAAAAATTCTCAAACATCTACAAATGCCCAGTGCACTGCATCACAAGGAATTTGATATATATCTAATAAGCAAGAGGCATGCAAATAACATGGCTACTCTCCTACAGAAGTTTATATAAAACTACCCTAACATCTTCCTCCCTAACAACTTCTATGTTAAAACTGAAGGAAACTACATAAAAATTATTTCCCTAAAAGTCCTGGGTGGTTCATGTAATTCAATCATTTGTGCACACTATGTTCCTAATGCTTCACTATTTTTTTCTTAGAAGAAAAGTATTATTTGCTTTTTCTGTCCATCTAAAATAAAAGCTACTAGCAGGTACTTTAGGGTTCAGGTACACCAAAGTAAGAAGAGTTTCAACTGTTTTTAAAAACACTTTTGCACAGCTGGGAAAGTCTGACTAAAAGCCACAGTTCTATTTCTCAGAGCTAATTTATTTTCAGGACAGTCCCACAAACAGATGGGATTAAAATCCAATTTTCAAAACCTAACTTGTAATGAAAGCTAAATGCACCTAACGTTCATTTTGGTATAATAATTTCTCATCTGAACATAACATCATTACATACTCTTGTACTGAAAATGTTGCCAGATTATACAGAGCAGGACAGCCAGATAGGATGCTCAAGCATCCAAAGACAGGTTGTTTTGTTTATTTTGGCTATTTTTTCAATCACAACATTCTACTGTTTAAACATTACAATGTTTTGCATCCCAGGAATATGTTCTCGCTACCTGACACAAGCACTTGAGTATCAGAAACATAAAGAAGCTGAACAGGTATAAGAATACCAGCATTTGATCTGAAGTTCAGAATGTGAAGAGTCATCCAAATCTAGGGACTCAAAGGTTCTCTGGAGATGCAAATTATGCTAGTCCCTGAACACTGACATTTCTAAAATCATCACCTTATCATTTAAAAAGCCAGATCAAAAACAGTCAGGTGTGAGAGTAAACTCTCTCAGCAGATAATGTAACAGTACTAGGGCCTTAGCTAAAATGTGGAGTACTGCCACAAATGACAACCATTGACAGGACTTTTAATAATTGCTATTCTCTTTTTATCTCTTCATGACACATTCACCAAAGAAATTTCTGATTCAGCCCAAATCGTGCTCTCCTGAAGAACCTTTTATTTCCATAACTGAATGCTTCCTTTCAAGCAGTACTACATTGCTACAAGTTTTGTTTCATCAAAATATTTTAGTATGTTATCCAATTAATATTTGCTTCATGTCAGCATCTTACACATGACCAAAAGTAAAACAGTTGTGTGATGAGACAAATAACTAATGCAAATGTTGAGACATATGTATTATTCTGGGGAGAAACCATAAAAACAAAGCCTAACTTAAAATCAATGTGCTTAAAACTCCCTAATGTCTTTTTCAAAGTAAATGAAAAATGTATGAGAATGATAAACTACTAGTATCTGACTAGAAGAGAATTAGCAGCAAATAATATAGTTGGTTGCCTTCACTGTCCCAATTAAATACAAAACCAGCAGATAAAATTGAATGTGTAGCAATAAAATTCTCATCTAATGCATAAATTTCTATGCACAATAGGTAAAAAATTCCATACTTGAATATGTTGTGCAAGTCACAGCAATATTATATAACATTTATTGTGATATGCCAGAAACTATTCTAAGTGCATTATAGGTATTTTTCATTTTATCCTCAGAAAAACCTATAAGATAAGAAATAATAGCCCCATTATAGGTAACGATAATCTCCCTTATAGGTAACTAAGGCACGGAAGGTTTAAGTAAACTTGCACAAGGTCTCACATAGGAAATAATTTATGGATCCAAACATTTCACCAACTAAAATTCCAGATCATTACTTTAAGCTGACAAAATGATAATGTACTAAATGTGCTTTGCAAATACTAAAATGTGCAAATGTAAGGTTGCACTAAGGGCACAGGTTTTGTCAGATCTAGTGTAAGTTTCTTACCAGCTATGTGAACCTAAGTAAATCACTGAACTTTTCTAAGTTTCTATTTTCTGTTCCGTAAAATAGGGATAATGAAAGAATAGGTTTTACTTCATAGAGTTGTTGGTAGGATTAGGGACATTACATGTGTAGATTTAGCAGAGTGCTTGGCATATAACAAGCACACCATAAATGTTCATTATTATTAGCTATTACTAAGAATTATCTTTCTTTTTTATAAACACTTAACACTGGTAAAATTTCCTAAAAATAAGTGAAATTCATCAATATTGAGAAGATAAAATTTTAAGACTCGAAGTCTCAATATACATGATAGTACAATTTAGAGATGGAAAAGGCTTCCTTGCCTCAATGCCATTATCAAATATTTATTTAAAGTGTCTTGGTATACATGAAAATGTGCTAGGCACCATACAAAATTATCAAGACAGTCCCTGACATCAAAAATGGACAATCAAGCAAATTAATTCTGCTGAGTGGACACAAACATCAAAACCTCCAACTTTGGGCATTTTCTCAAGCAGATGCACCTATGGTATGCTAGGTCCCTTTTTGTTTGTGGTGTTGTAGTGGTGCAAATATGTAGAGGAAGAGGCTTGAAAATAATAAGCCTCCCAAATTTGGTATGGAGCAATAAAGATTCAGGAGGAAATGAGCTGCATTTTCCACACTCTTACCCTTCCAAAAACACTTTAGCTATCTTGGTACTAATGATTTCCACTAAACTAGAAGAAATAAAGGCAAGGTAGGAGCTGGAAGCTCAGAGGAATAGGGTATAGAAACAAATTAGGAGGAGAGAAATGAATCTGGAAAGTTAGTTAGAAAAGCCAAAATAATTGTAGGTTTTAAGTGAGACATGTTTTTAATCTGCATTCTACCCATGTGTTTAACGCCTTAAAAACCACAGAACAGCTATTCCTGAAATTGCTGATCCTTATTCCTTTTCAATTTTATCAAGGATCCCTTTAGCTCTTAAAGTCAAAGAGAGACGAAAGGATAGCACAGAGTACAGAAGGATTTTGTCTAACAGCACAGCCAATATCCTGCCACATATATCTTAGAGCTTGGCTTCAGATCAACTGAAAGCCATGGCTAAATCATAATCCTGATAATCTATGGATTCCATTAGAAAAATAACTTCTCCAACTCCAAACTAGGGATCTAGAATACTTCAATGGGTCACTGCAGGAAACCTGGAAACATAATTTCCAAAATTTTTGGAGCATCTCTACCTCATTTTCAGAAGTCACGCTGTTTGAAGAGATCTTTTGCAACTTCACAACAGGAAATGATAGCCACTTGTACCTATCTCCACATGTATCTGCCATGACACCTATAGGGAAACTCCTCTTTCTATACCCACAGCCTCATGCCATAGCAAAATCATTAACTCCCCACTGCTGCATCCATAGGCTCTTTAATGCAAACTAAGTACAACAGACTATTTATTGACCATAAATATAATATGTTCCTTAAAAATCTGAAGGTACATTTCAACAACTAAAGCAACTTGTGTCAACCAAAAACTTAATTCATATATACAAAACTAGGCAAAAAACTAAAACCTAAGAATGGGTAATGCATACATTCTTCAAAGATTTCTTCTTAAAGAGTAAAGGGGAGGGGGAGGGAATGGAAACATAAACAAACAAAAAAAAAATGGTGGTTGTGTATTCAAGGTATGTCTAGTGAACACCTGCCCAATGTCAGCTATACTTCAGCTCTCATTTGTACTATTCAAACTTATGAAGTTGAAGTGCAACCTACACCTGTTGTTTCTCCTCTTCCACCACACTTAGGAATGGAAGGCATCTTTGGGAAGGATGGTAAGTTCAATTCTATAGGAAAACTCTTAACTGATCAAATAGCAGCAAAGGTAGATATAATTTATAGCCAGATAGGTCTTACATAAAATAAGCAGTTTATGATGGCTCTTTGTGTGCTTTAATCCTCACTATAACAATAAAAAGTCACCTAAATATGTGTTTATGTAGCCTATATGCAGAAAAGCTTCCCACACAAACTTCTTAGGCCTCTTCTCAAGAGCCTTAAGCCTGAGCCCCTGAAACGACAGAGCTCAAGTCAAATCAGGAAGGATGAAGACCAGAAAGGAATACGAAGAACAATACTTTCTGGTCACTTGTTTGTTCTACCTTTCTAAACTGGTCCTAGTTCAGCTTCTCTTATATATGCCATTATCAATTAATCCAGCTATTATGATGTTTCCAATCTAATTTACTCAAGTACTGACACAGTGCTATTTTTCCTACACGACCCAGATGAAATCTTTTGACAGCCCTAGAACTCTCATTTACTTCCTCCTATAGATTCCTATTCTGGGGCCCCAGAATTACTACAGAGGAGACATACTGTGAATGGTCCTGTAGAAACAGGTGGGTAGAGTAAGGGAATTCTAGCAATGGGCTCCCCACCTCCAACATCAAGTTTTCTTTCTTCTCTATAGTATTTAACAAGCAAGCAGAGAGGAAAAGGCTGGCATACAAATGAGAGGATGCTGCAAAGAGCAACCCCAAGCTTTTTAGGAATCCTCATATCTTTTCAGGGGTTATCCGCATTTATCTGGAAAATATCTTTGGAATATGTCTTGTGTGTAGGAATGCATAAAAGATAACACCTTGCAAAAGTCAAACATATAGGTTTAATAATGTGCAACTAATGAAGATGGCTTATAAATGAAATACCCACCTACACATTTAGTTCCCTAAATATATTATACTATTAGTTATTAAAGTTAGATCTATAAGTACAAATTTTCAATATGTTGGAAAGTAAATCTGTTTTTAAATTAAAGAGAAATTATTACTCTATTTCTTAGAAATAAAACTATCAGAATATAATTCAAGTGTAGCTGCTCATAGTCACTGAATAAGTTTAAATTTGATAATAAAACATTTAAGTTTCAACCAATGCACCTTTGCTGAAGCACATTTAGCTGAAATAACTTCGAGTCTGGTTTATTTCCATCACATATAGTACATTTTTCCAACAAGAGCATGTACATTCAATATAGAACATTTCCAGCAATAGTTACAGTCTTTCTAGTTTCCTTTCACAGTATATTTTAGTGCAAAGCACTGGGAAGGTAAATGTTTTTCTAGCTATAGAATCATTTTATTAAGACCTTGTGGATCTTTAACATTTTAAAATTTTATACAAAAAGTATATAGATGGACAGGGTCCCTCCTAAGTACAGGTGTGAACCTATATAAAAACATGGTATATTTTCTGCTGTACCTTTTATAATTATAATTTGACACAAATAACTAAAAAATAAAATATTCCCTAAAAAGTACAAAATATTGATACACAAAAACCTGCCCAAAATTTCATAAAGATAGATGTATTTCTGTTTTTCCTAAAATCTTGATTACAAAAATGGACAAGAATTAATCATTTTCTAAATTTTACAGTAGGAATCAAATATTATCTAAAGTGGTCCTTTAAGATTTTTCTTGGGAGAAAAAAAAATCAGGGCTTACACCCGCATCTTCCTTTTGTAGCAATATTTAAGGAAATAAAGTAGTATCATAAGAAGTGGTTGTGCATGGATTGTCTGCATCCATAAAATATCAGTAAGCTATTTATTACCTTTATATTAACATTAGTAAATGTGTGGTCTTTAAAAAAATAGGAACTGAAAAATAAGGTTGCATCTATCATTAAAGTGCTTTGTATAAAATTTAAAGAAAAATAGGGGAATGTTTAATTTTCATAAAAACCTACATTTACAAGTGAAAAATTTAATAATCCATGCATGAAAATGAACTGGAACTTTCCTGTAGTATATATTTTAGGATGAAACTTTCAAACTTAAGTGCTGGAGAACAAGCTAGAAATAAATGGATGTAAAAATAATTACAAATATTTAGTAAGCTAAATATTTATAATGTGCTGATACTATTTTGTCTTTTGTTCCTAACATATAGTCACTAGAAAATCATATATCTATACAATTCAGATGAAAATGTTGCCAAATAAAGTGAAATAAAACTAAAATCACTAAGATATAAAGTCTTTGTCAATTAAAAATTGATATTTTCTTCAGGTTGTTGATCACTTAATCAACAAATTGTTTAGAGAACAAAATTTGTAACATTTTTGTAGAAACTGTAGACCAAATGCACAAGGTCAAGGGCAACCGGTTAGCTGATGGACTGTGATGACAACATGTAATGTCACAGCTACTTGAAAGTGCTGGAATAGGCAGTGCCTTAGAAACCAGTGGTTAGATGGTTATTATTTTAGTCAGAAAACAGCAGTTATAGTTGAATATTTAGAAAAATGTTTCTCTTTTTTTTCCTCTTAGTACCATTTGAAGATGTTTAGTGGTTCTAACACCAATTTAAAGTCTTTCCACAAAAATGAACTCCAAACCTTTTCGTACATCACTTGAAGTTATCTGAGGAGAAATGGGAATAAATGAACACTTTTGAGTTTACTAATAAAACCTTGTTTTTAAAATTACGCAACAGTAAATTACTTCTAAAAGATGGTTTCATCTCAAGTTTTCCACACAGATAAAAAAATGTGTGATAATCAAACCACAACATTTAACCTACACAGCACTCAAACTAGTATTTTGCTTTAGAACCTGAATCTGAAACTAATTTAATACTCATTAAATACATTAAATGCCTTAATACAAGGGACACAGGTACAGAAGGTGAACTTTTAAAATACATATAGACTTGCGAAAACAAGTATAACGAGTCTACTCATTTTATATTGCATTTTTAAAAAATCTCCGTTTGTTCCAAAACCCTCTTTAAAAAGTAGTATTTTTTGGCAGGGTGCGGTGGCTCATGCTTGTAACCCCAGCACTTTGGGAGGCTGAGGTGGGCAGATCACCTGAGGTCAGGAGTTTGAGATCAGCCTGACCAACACGATGAAACCCCATCTCCACTAAAAATACAAAATTAGCCAGGCCTGGTGGTTCATGCCTGTAATCCCAGCTACTTGGGAGGCTGAGGCAGGAGAATTGCTTGAACCCAGGAGGCGGAGGAGGCAGTGAGCCGAGATCGCACCACTGCACTCCAGCCTGGGCAACAAGAGGAATACTCCATCTCAAAAAAAAAAAAAAAAAAAAAAAAAAGCAGTATTTTTCTTTCTTCCAAATATGAATTTTAATTTTACTTTTCTTACAATGCACAACCACAAAAAAACCCTAGTTAACAATATTAACTATGTTAAAATTATCACCAAAAAGTTTATTAAAAAGAGAGGGAAAAATAAGAGCATCTGAAACCTAAATAAGCATTGTTTCCATAGATCAAAACTAAAAAACAGTAACTAACACACACTCCCAAGGAGAAGGAAAAAAAATCCAAACTTCTATTTACCAACTTTCCCCCTTTGCCTGGAAGCACTATGTTAAAAGTAAATGATAAATGCTAATCATTTTAAATTCAATTTGGGGATTTTTTTTCTGAGTGCAGCACTTTATTTAGCCGTCACAGATTAATTTTTACAATAATTACAGTGCCTCAAAATATTTTTTCCTATAATTATCGCCTTCACAAGTTCATTCTAATATATTTAACTTTCCTACAATTCATTAATTAGTAGACTAAGTCACTGAATCAAATTAAACCTGTGCAAAGTTAGTTAAACAGAAGACTTCTATTGTAAACATAAGCCAATATAAATGTATATATTTTACAACATTAAAAGGAAAGCACTGACCCTGTGCCATCTACCTATAACTAATTGCATTGTCCTGTGGAAGATAAGTTCTGAAGTTAACTTTTGTTCCCAAGCCACTGGAATAAAGGTCACTGAAGAGGTAAATGCAATATGCACATTACTCTTGCAGTTCCCATTGCCATGAGATATATGGAAGCAAACGTGTTAAAATGGAACCAGCTATAAATTATGGTCAAATGATTTTTTTTTTTTAGTTCGATGGGGGGAAAAAAGCAAAACTCTGTAACTGTTCCTCACCAGACAAGAGCCTTAGATCTTGTACTTCGGCCTTTGGTTTTGTTTCCTTCAGGTGAATTGGAAGCATTTGCCTTATGAGTTTTCTTATGATGTTCAAGATAAGTCTTTTTGGCAAATGCCTTTCCACATTTATTGCATCTGTGAAGAGAAAAGTTTTTTGTGACTTTTACTTCAATACCGACGTCAGCTACTTCATACTTTTTACTAGGAGAGTTAGAAGTGCCATCATGTTTTGAATCACTATGTTTTGCTTCGTCCCTCGAAGGGCCTCTTTTTGCCACTTTATTTAGAACAAAATCAATAGGCTTTTTTATAGCTCTGATCTCTAAACTGGCTGTTATTTTCCCAAGATAACGAGATGACTTTTTATGAACCACAGTTATATGTCGTATCACATCGCGTTTCCGACGAGTTTCATAAGTGCAAAGAGGACACTTGTAGAATTTAACATAAATGTTATTTCCATCTGTGTGCAACTCGATGTGTTTAGTCAAGTTCTGTTTGGAAGTAAACTGACGTTTACAAAGTTTACAGTAAAGTTGCTTAAAGTCAAAGCCAGCTGAAAGTTTTGGTTTTCTGGTTTTTTGCTGGCCACCTGCAGCCGACGGACTAGTTGATTTAGGGCTTTCAGAGTCTTGTTTAACTTTATTTTTCTGTGCTGCCGGTGTGTTCTTTTTTTCATTTGAATGATTTGTTCCCTTTAATTCATTCTGTAGAGAATGGGTAATGGAAGGGGGTGAAGATTCTACAGAATCTGCTGGTTCAACTTTAACTTTTATTTCTGAACTGTTGGCAGTATTATTAGGGCCTTTCTCTCTTTTAGAGTTTGTTCCAGAAAGAGTTATCTTGTGGACAATTTGCATATGTCTTTTAAGCATTATTTGTGAACTATATTTCCTCTTGCAAAGGAGGCATTTGCATGCAGTTAAATTGTATTCAGCCTTTGAAGACGACTTTTGTTTTCGAGTCTTAAAAGATTTTTTAGGAGAAATAGAATCCAGGAACAAAGGTTGCCCAGGCTTTGTTGCTATATCAGGAGTAATTGAATCCCTCCTTAGTCCTCTATGAACTTCATCAAAATGCCTCCTTACATTTGCTTTTGTAGCAAATGATTTACAACATACTGGACAACTCCTACTTAATGGAACTAGAACATTCTTACTGCGTCCTTTAGAGGACTGGTTTGGATTCTTTCGTGTTTCAATGTACTTTTTTAGTTCTTCCATCTTTTTCTTGTGTACTTTTCGAATGTGACGGCGAACACCTCGTCTAGAATTGAATTCTTTTCTACAAAGACAACATATCAACTGGTGACCAAAATCAGAATTGTCAGAAGTTTCCAAGTCAGCCTGTGACTCCTGAGGTTGTTCATCACATGTAGGTGCAACTTCATCTGTAACGATCTCAACAGGAGGGGGCTCTACAGTTTCCACCTCTGTATCTGTAACCGGTACTGTTTTTGACTGTTCAGTGCTCGCTTCCTGTATTTGAACTTCGGTTTGTTCAGGAGTACTGCTTGACTCTGTGACTTCAATAGGATTATCAGTCCTCGAAATATATTGAAACACTGCATTTTGATTAGTTTCTATGGGTTCTAGCTTAATAATATATTCTCGTTTGTCCACACTTGGATATATGGCTTCTAGGAGATCATTTATGGCTTGGCTTTGTTTATCATTTACATCAGGAAGGTCTGTTAAGGAAAAAACAACATTTTAATCTGAAGTAATTAGCCTGCTCTAGCCCTCTAATATTTTAAGATATATGAACCTCTATCTCAGAATCTATATTACCAGTTTATTTTTATAAGAGCATTATCTACTTTTCAATATTCTACAAAGACAAAAACTAGTATTAAACTAAAATTTCCTTTAATTTAAATTCTCATCATGATACACAAAAATGTTAAGGAACATATATAATCTGAAGGACTACTTTTGCTTCAAATGCACTTAATATAAAATATATAAGCACTTAAGTGTCCTAAATAATGATATTTCATATTTAGTCTGAACGTTTTAGACTAGCAAAGGCAACTCAAATTCTCATAACTCAAGATAAAACAGCATAAAAATGTTACTACATAACCAAAAATGGTATTTTTTAGAAAACATAACAGCATTCCTATTAGCTTAATCCATAATAGTCTAATCTAATCTATTTGAGCATCTTATGAAAATGAAAGATTTGTAATAAAATATGTAAACATAAATGGGATGATGTGTAGAAGTATTTGCCAAACTCAGTCCTATTACACGTCTTCTTAATATGACAATTTTACTAAAACAAATGATTAAAAACTATACAGATTTATTTAAAAACCATAGGTAATTTTATTTCCTTGTACAATAATTACACCCTCTACAGGCAATCAACTATCCTATTGTAACAGAGTTGTCTAACACTGGTTAGGGTTCCACGTATTACTACTCTAAAATCTAGCTACAAATTTAGTACCAAATCTGGTATCTATACCAATCAGGAAGTGATTCAATCTAGCTCTTCTAATCTATTCATCTGCTTTTTAAGATGAATCAAGTAGTGTCTATAAGAAAAATACTTTCACAAAAGTATTTCTAGAATGAGTATTGCCAAGACAAGTGCACAATAATCTAGCAAATCCATTTATCCATTTCACTCTATAAGTTAACTCTACAACTAAAAAATAAATAACTACCTAAAGACAAACTAATTTTCTACTAGTATTTTAATTTAAAGTTTAGATTTGGAATGAATCTCTACAGACTGCTTTTTAATTTATATCTCAATGAGAGAATAGAAAGATCAAATAGTAGTAGGAAAAACTTCCAGGTAAATATAAAATTTTTATTTAATCAATGCTCTATAATATACTTTAAGCCAGCTTCATTATAATTAAAGCCATACTTATTTGGAGATTGCATTTCATACCGATCCCAAAACGGTTATGTTGAAAAATGCACAGAATCCACAATGCATCTATGATATCAGACTGACAAAGTAAGTTCTATATTTTGTAAGTCAACAAAGAGTTAAATCCCTAAACAAGAAATAATAAGGTAACCCAATACTGAATTTTTTAAATTTACATTAATTCTTTAAAGAAAAAAAATACCATTAGACATATTGCCAGCTTAATCACACAAAGACAATATACTGCATTCAAAACAAACATTCTATTCCAGAAAGACTTTATATTAGTCTGCTATCTGCCTTTATCACATAAAGTTATACTGGATCTCAAGTTAGCCTGTAACATAATGTAATTTCTGAGAAAATGACTTATATAAATTTTTCTGAGAACAAAACTGATCTTCAAATCAAGACCTAGAAAACACTAGGAAGATTAACAAAGACTTTTTGATGCTCTCCACCATTCCCAAGAAATGAACAAATTTACCTCATTCTTTGTTCTTTATTCCCAACTTTCTCATTTACTTAAGGGAAATCTAAATAAGTGATCAATCACATCTGGTTGCAAGTTGTTAAAGAAAAAAGGAGTAAAAAGAAATATCTATTTATGGCCCATATAAACATGCTAAAACAATATCCAATATTTTAATACAAATAAATATCCTCTTAAATCTAATCTCTTAAATGTCATCTTTAGGAAAACCCAAGTGGAAAGCATTGATATGAAAGTACCTAAGAAACTGAATGTAACATTGAGTCAAGTATTTAATTTTATTCTCCATCTCCACCTAAAAATTATCTGTAACTAGACATCATTATCAAATTATCAGTAACTAGATACCATTTTAATGCAAATGTGTAGTTGCAGTATAAGAATACTTAGCTGTAAAATGCATAACTGAATATATGAAAAAAACTTACTGTCATCCATCTGGAGACTTGGTGGGCAGTAGAATTTTTTATGGGTAATTAAATTTGGTAATCCTCTGAAGAGACTGCGGCATAACTTACATTCAAAAATAGTGTCCACATCTTTTAATAAAATATGCTTAAGTTGTTTAGTTCCTGAGAGAAAAAAGAAAAGAAAAACTCAACACAAAAGGTAAGTTTAACGTGTACTTTTAAACTGGACTATACTGTTGACAGACCAAAAGCGCAGTTACTCTTTGAAAACAAAATATAGGCATTGCCAATTTCTACCACAGTATATTTAGAACTACGTTATAGACTAAATTCTAAGCAAAACTCTACTATCATTTGGAAATCAGGACAACTAAAATTGATGCTTCGTTCCCACTTCAGCAGCCAATTAATTCTTGATATATCCCAAGGCAGTGGTTCCGACATGAGGTTAATCATTACAATGAGCTGGGAATAAAGATGTGCACAGCCCTCCCCTAGAGGTTCTGATTTAATAGATTTGGAGTAGGGCAGAAAAATTAAATGTTCCCCCATTATTCCCTGGCAAACTTTTTGGCTGGTTCTTTCAAGCTCTTTTCTGTATAAGGAAGTAAGCAAGGAGTTTTTCAATACATTTTCCCCTGATTCCTTAAAGAAAGTCAAAACTATATGACAGGATTGCCTGTGACTTTTCTTTTTAAATTCAGTTCAAATTACTTCAGGTTCTGGGCCAACATGGGATTATGGCTATTTAACGTGATTCTCTACAAAGTAGAGAATCTTTGTCCATAGTGAGACATAATTTTGAACTTTGCTTATGCCTCTTGACAGCACTATAAATTCATTCAAAGCCTTTCTCCCTTAAAACACCCCAATTAATTATTGACATAATCACTAGTTTAATGCCTATCTTCTCTATAGATTATACACTCCAAAGCAGCCAAGAATAAGCCTTATTTACAAGTGTAACGTATTCAGTTCTTACAATGCTCAAAAACTATTTGTTGAAGAAACGCTATTAATCTACGGAATCTAAGTACTATGAAAGAATATCTTTAGGCAGAGAAAAAATAAATGGCAAAAAGCACCCAATCTTTAAAATAAAAACATCCATCAGAAATAAAATACAAACGAAAGGTCTTTAGTCACTATTTTCCTACAGCTCTTTGCCACAGGTAAGGTGGCAAAACTGATCTGCAGTACTTTACTAATTAATGTACCTTTACTTTCCTCAAATTAAAAATTTTTTTAAATGACAATATATTGACTTGAACAGGAAAAGACCCAAGTACCCTGAAAAATATCCTTAAGACTGTCGAGGTGCAAAGTGTTGTGTCATTTAAGCAGCATTTAACCATTTAATAAGCACTGGGACTACTAAAGAGTATCAACTATCTTAGAAGAATAATTAATATAGTAGGGTCTATAAAAGTTAAATAGCTCAGATTCAATCTTTTGCAATCTGTTTACATTTAATCTTTGAAGTGTATTTTATCATTTTGAAAACGATGATAAATCATTTCCCCTACCCCAACATACGCACACGGGGTGGGGGAGAGAATTATTGTTGATCCAAGCATTCAAAATTCTACTGCAAAAAAGTTACCAGGTTATCACAACTTTACTAAGTCTTGAGAGATTCCAAATCTGATATTATCTACTTCTGTGACCTTAAAAAGCTTTATAATCTTTGTACTTTGGTTTACTCATATTGTAAAATAGAACAAACCTAACCAAACCTAAGCAGAAGAATTATTAAAGAAAATATGAACCTAAATCCCAGGGAAATTATATACTTGAGTTTCTACTGGAAAAAATGTATAGAATAAAATAATTTCTACCATTTCCCAAATCCAAATCTATGTTTACTTCCACTAGTCCTTATTACCACAAAATCTGAAAATATAAATTTAAAAAGATTCAGAGAATAGCCTGAGTGTTTTTCTTTACATAAAAGTAAATTCTCATATATATATTTCTGAAGTCCATTTCACATTACAAAATATCCTGGCAATGGACTGCTAATATCTTTAGTTCATAGTTAACTTCATAAGTGAGTGACAAACTATGAGAGGTAGACTGATTTTAGAAAATGCTTTGGCTCAGCCTCTCTAATTGACCTATATATAGTTCTCAGGAAGTGTAGGTGAGCATAGTAGCAGTGGGAAGAAAACAGGAAACTTTTGTACACTGATTCTAAACTACAAAACCTGCTAGACCCATAAAACAGATTCAGTTCTGCCTTTAAGGACAGTCAAAAAAGATTGAAGAGGAACGCCAAAACATGTGAACTAGGTTTAACTTAAGAATTCAACTTAAGATTTAAATAGGATACATGTACATGGCTGCAGATTTAAAGCATAAAGCAATCAGTCTGTAAACAACATGAGGTTATACATAAAAAATAGTCAAGTGTAAAATATAAGACTGCATCCCTAAATCAGACATATCACTTTGCCTACTAGTTTCTCAATCACAGAAAAATAAAGAGGCTATCAGTTTCTTAGCTAGTCCTAATTATACAGTTAGTTATATTCAGTAGGGACTGTATATTTATTCTCAATAAACATCCAAAAAAAGTGTTTGCCTCTAATCTTAACTAATCAATCTTAATTATCAATCACAAATGCTTCCCCTTACCCCCGCCACCCTCTCTCCACACACACACAAAGAGACAGAGAGAGGGAGAGGGAGAGAAAGTGTGTTATTGTTGATCCAAGCAGTCCAGATTTCTTTCAGGTCCACAGATACACCAAATGTTCTCTTTCCCTCACTTTTCAGGCCTTCGCCTGTTTTATCCTCTCTGACTATAACATTCTCCCACTTTCCTGATCTGATTCACTTCTAATAATCCTTCAGATCCCAGTATAGATGTCACTTCCTCCAGGAAGCCTTCAATAATCAACTTCTTCTGTTTTGTTGTTGTTGTTTTTGTTTGTTAAAAATCCTTCACCTACACTCTCATAGCACCCTAGACACCTATACTAGCTTATCCACAATTTTGTAATTCATTACTTTTCCATATCCCCATTAAACTGGAAGATTAGAACAGAGAAGATATCTCTGATGCTCACCGTTACCCCAGCCCTCAGGATAATGTATGACTTACATTTGCTAAATGAAATACTACAGAGCTCTATGTATAAAAAAACCTTCTCTAAAAATAAGATTTTTTTAATCTATGTTAACTGAGGAGTCAAAAATGAGACTTTAAAACTTTTCTAATTCCACTTACATATTTAACAAATGAGAAAAATAAGGTATGTCTCAGTCCACAAACAGAGATAATAAAAGTTTTTCCCTTAGTTTCAGTCACTATTTAAGATTTTGTTATTTTTTCCCATGGAGACGGAATGACTTTATTCAAAGTCAGCTACAATTTTCTGATTGCTCTGCTCACTTACAATTGGACACAGCCAACTGTAAGTGCCTCTGTCAACAGCTAAAACTTCCTGTCACCTGAGACAACAGACACGGTCATCTAGATAGCAACATAAAGTTCATCCACAGCTCTGGATGCTGAGAAACAGACAGCCATGCTGACTTCCTTCTTCTTTTCCTATATTGCTCTCTTTATTGCCTTAGGGTTTTAAATTATCTTAGAAATCACCACTTACTGCTTACATAGATCAGTACCTTTCAAACATCCAGCCCTCCAAAGGAAAGGCTTTTGATAGCTAAAGATTAATGACTATATATATTCCAGATTTTCACACATAATAGGTGCTCAATAAAAACTACTTAAACTTCATCAAGGGTTTATCTTGTGTTATTCTTTAATAGCAAGTGCACTGCATGTACTGATGAAAATGTTTAAAATATGTTTTCAAAAGGAATCAGTATTCAATTTTACATTAGGTTGGGTGGCAGTCACATTACAATATGACAATATTAATTCTAACTCTTCTATGCTAGACAAAGATAAGGTTTCATTTTCTTAATGCACTGACATTTTGGTCAATGCCCATTTTAAGTGATGACAAGAATGTTTCTTAAATGGTATACTGCTTGCTTACTATTGGCTCAAACATAAACTCAATCTTCTTTAGGATGACCACTTAATTACACTATCATCCAAACACTGCAAGCAAATAAATGTACGTTCCTCATCACAACTCCTGAAGGAAATTTCTTATTGATCATCCTTAACATAAGGATTCAAAGATACAAAGAAAACTTAAGAAATTGAAAGTTTTGTCCTAAAACTATCACCTATAAGGGTTGGTTAAAAATATATATATGTGTTCATTATACAGCACTGCCACACACCACAATAAACTTATAAGTAGAATAAAATTATCTTATGGCGGCACCTACTTTGGGAATCTTTTAGTTTAATCTAACAAACACTTATTGAGCACATACTAAATACCAGGTACACTGTTACTCACTAGAAATATGAAAGATACAGTCTTTCCCCCCGCTGAGAAACTCACAGACCAATATAAACAGCTGTTGTCTTGGGAACGTAACACCAGATGACATGCTTTGAATATGAATGTAAGGAAAACCAAATCTACTTTTTTCTTATTAAAAAAAAAAAAAAAAAAAAAAAACAAGTCCCATTTTAAATTTCCTATAACTGCTATGTAACAACAAGAAAAGAAAAAGCCATCGTAAGTATTGCATTCTCCTATGTACTTCAGAAAAATCATGTCCACCCTACGCTTTGCCTTCAGAATCAGGACTGAGGCACCACCATTCAGTCAGAGATTAAACCAATTGCAATTAAAGTTGTTTTAAGGAGGAAAAAAAAAAAAAAAGCCTAAGTTAAATGACCAAACCCAAATTTAGAAAGATAATGACAGCAAACATCACATGAAGCTAATTCTCATTTTTCATTACCATACTATTAAAGTTACAATTTATTCCTCCCTGAGTCAAAAAAAGAGTTCCCTGCACGTACTGCTCTAACATATTCTACACGTAGAATCTTTTTTCTACAAATTATACATTTCTCTTCTTACAATATTATATATTTCAAGAATTTAAAAAGAAGATGTCAGCTTCATATTAAAGACCAGTCTTGAATACCATACAAAATTATTATCCTTCTCTTTTCCCCTCATTTTTCTCTGTCTAACCATAGGGGCATTCCATAGTTCCTTTGCCTCTAGCAGACAACTAAGAGATTCTGAAAGAATACTGAACTCAACTAAACCAATTTAATAAACACATAAAAGACATTTAATAGACATGTAAAGGTAGTACACTTTTTATCTTCTATTTAAAATTTTGTTTTGGTTTGGGGAGAGAGGTCAAAGAGGAAGGAAGATAAACTGAAAGTGTTATAGAGAGGAGGGAAATTTGAAGACACCAAATTACAAACATGATCCTAGCAGGACAACACAGCCAAAGCAAGACTACACAAAGGGTAAGGCACAGTCAAGGTAGCACAAGAAACCAGTGGTTCAGAGCAAACAGCAGGCCTCAAGTCAGCCAATCATCAGGAATTTCCAAGAGGAAACACTGCAGCTGCAAAACACACAGGCTTCTTAAAAAATGAGGCATCTATCTATGGACTGATATCAACAATAATTGACTCTACAGTTAATAAAGCAAAGGTACACAAGAGTATGCAGAGTCAGCTACCATTCGTGTTAAGAAGAAAATGAGGGATGTATGTTTGTATATGTACAAAAGGTCTCTGGAAGAAGACACATAAACCATGTAGCAGTGTTGCCTGAGCAAAGGGGAACTGAAGAACAGAATAGCATAGAAACTTATTTTTTCCTCTATACCCTTCTGTACTTTACTATTTAAAATCACAGACATGTATTACTTATAAAAAGAAAAACCCATTTATTTTAAATTTGCAAGTTAAGCAGACTAATAAAGGGATACCAGAAATCCATAAGAATTTGTCATTTCAATCCAAGAAAACAGTTCAAAGCAAAAGCTGAAGTATCAGGCAAACAGGATGGGTTAAAACTGGTCAAGCAGTCAGCATAGCACACATGGAGTGGTGGACATTAAAAATGAGTCAACTCCTTCATAAGACAGAACCTTTTATGAACTTCCAGCTTGCATAGGAATTAATACCTGGTCATAGACAGCCCAGTGTAGGCAGAAGGTGAGACATAAAAGGAGATGATACAGCAGCTGAAGATAACTATCTGAGCTTGAAGATAAAGGTAGATAACCTAACATGTTACTACTGTTCAACCTGATTTATACCCTGTTATGACTTAACTGATTTATACTCTATAGGTTAACAAGAGCAAAAGCATGGACTTCAGGGTTCTATCTTCAAATATCTGTCAAAGATATCTAGCACCACCAGGATAGTTCTTTAAATGCAATGTATGTGACCTAATTGTAATGGAAAGAGTCTAGAAATAGATGAGTCATTGAGGGTGTACTTGGGAGTAGAGTGGAATAGGAAGAACAGAGCCTCAAAGCTAGAAGGGATCTCTGTCCCCAAGTTATACAGTCCAGACTTCCGTACCATTCTCCCAAGGTTTTAGTATCAACTTAAATGCCTTAGTGCTACAGAAGGGCTACCATAGTAGACATTAGATTAACCAGAAATGCAAGAGATTACTATCTTGAAGATATTAAAATTTCTTAGTTACAAGATACAGTAATGAAGTAAAATAATTTTTTAATCCAAAATTAGTTTCTTTGTACCACTCAGCATATTTCTAAATCACCTCTAACTTAAACTGTTGTGTACGCAGAAAATTAAAATAATAGTATTTTCAGAATTTGCCTGAATAAAATATAACTCAAAAGGCGAATTTGCTGATATCATTTTAAAAGGAATGCAATTCAAAACATCAACATAAAATGGCTTTGGAATTGTACCATTTCAAATTACCTGTTTCACTGCCTCACTTCTTTAGCTAAGACAGTAAAAATACGACAAAAAACAGAGAACAGATATGATCACAACACAGTAAGAAAATAATTAATTTAATTTTTAAATATCTGCCTTCTAAAAAAGACTCCAAAAATCTTTTTTAATTCTGTACCCCCACAGATTGTGGGTACAGGTTCTTGTTGAAAAGACAGTTTTTTAACAAGTCAAAGCACTTATGACTTAACTAATTCTAACTTCTTAATAAAAAAACACTATAATAAACTAACACAGTATAACTTCATTAATTCCAAATTAAGAATTTTAAAAAATAAACCTATAACAAGTAATATTACTAAATATGAAAAGCTATTGCTCTCATTTCCATGGTATGAGAAAGAACCAAAAAAACCCTTTAAAACTCTATTCTAAAAGTAGCTAAAACAAACAGATACACTATTTTTTCTGTTATGCCAGAAATATAAATACTGTCCCTAATAAGTAAAATTCTATTTTAATTGAACTTATCACAACAAAATTTGACCTATAAATTATCTGTTAGTCGAGTGCAATTAATTATCAAAAGTAAAAATCAAACAACAAAAAAATCCCTAAAATAGTTTATACCACCATCCAATATAAGGATAGGCACTTGGTATACACTCAATACTTCCTAAATTAAATATAGATAAAAGCAATGCCATGAGTACTACAGATGAAAAGTCTAAGAAATGGATCTTTTGGAGAGTCAGAGAAAAAATAAATGTTTTAATTTAGATTCTATTTCTTAGAATCCTAAAGTAAAGCAAATATATGATTCCCCCTTTATAACAATTTAGAAACAAGCATCTCAAAAAATTTCTCATGAATACAAAACAAGTAGTTACATATGAATCATTTTTTCCTTTGAACCTCAGAAATTTTTCATTAAGGTAGTTAAGATTTAAAATAATGACGAGGTATTCTAATCCTCTAAGTGTTCATCAGTCATATTTATTTGCTTGTTCACATTTGAGTGAATAGTCTGCAATGTCAGAGAAGCCAAACATACAAGGGGTGGCCAAGTGGATTATAGGAATCACAGCAACCTAACATCTTACTGATAACATAGGGATACTAACAGTTCCCAATCATTTTACATGTTGTAAGTAACACTTATTTTAAAACACTGGATTGCAATTACACAATTATATTTATTATAAAGCTAATTCTTATTATCAGCTAACGAAAATAAAATCTAAGCAAATGTATCTGAAGATATCAGGGCGGGAATACTGTCTTTCTTCTATCTTGTGCTCTATTAAAGATACCAAAACTCCACAAACTCAAGGGTTAGGGAGAAGGCGGCGAATCACATAAACATAAATAAGGTAATTAATTTAGAACAAGTGACATCTCAGACATTCTAAGCAATCTACTGTACCAAAGCTCATGAACACCCAGAATCATTTACTGCCTTTCGAGAGTTTACACAAAACATGCCACAAGATATCAGTGGATCTTTAAGAAGTGCTTTACCAGAAAATACACCACATAATATATTTCTTTAAACCATACTAAACAAATATATTTTAAAATTAATATACCATATATAGTACTGAAGAATAATCTCTAGATCAAGTCAATATTTATACATCCACTTTTTTAAAATATGAAAATTTTAAATATTCTATAAAGAAAGCCAACATATACATTTTAATGTTTTTTAAAAATTACTTCTAAGGACTTCTAGGTAGTTTTTAACTACTATGTGAAGATTGAAAAATACATCCTAAAACATTCATACCTGATCGAAAGCACTCAATTATTTGTTGAATACCAGATTTGGATGTCTGTAGTGGTTGCTGTAACAAAGGAGGATCTCCAGGTTCCAGGATATAAACTACATGGAAGACAAACACCCACCCCAATCCCCACAAAAAAAGGGTTATTTAAATCATTTACTATTAAAGTAAAACAATGGCTTTCTACAATTACATTAAGGATAATCATACTGGTGCCCGCACACACACACATATATATAATATGTAGATATACATGTAATTAACCATCATCTTTGTAAGACAAAATGAAACAATGGAGAAAAAAACTAAAACTATTCTCCATTAAAGGCTAAATTAAGGCTACTTAAGGCTAGATATTAGGTTTCAATACAAAGACCTTACTATTTTTGTATTATTTAGTACACATTCTTCATGTTTGCCTTTTTATTCCCCTTGAAGAGGAACCACGACATTTAATCAAAATTCTAAGGCAATGGTGGCCTAGCCACACTTCATAAACCATTCCAAAATTCTTTGGATAATCTGGTATAACTCTGGATATTTATGAGCAAAATGTCAAAAATCACTGCCTAAAGAAATAACTGAACAAGTGCACAATGATGGATGCAGAATAATGTTCACTGTAATGCTCTGCAGCACTGTATATAATTGAGAGAAATTTCAAACCACTTAAAAGTCTCTTAATAGTGACCAGATTAAATAAACTATGAAATGTCCATAGAACAGACTTTTTCATGGCTGTTAGAAAGGATGAGCTAGTTCTATGTGTATTCACAACAAAGCATGGCAATAATTGTTAAGCAACAAACATAGGTTATAGAATATGATCCTATTTACATTAATACATAGGTACATGCAGAAATTTATAAATTTAATATATATTTGTGTATATGTACAAATGCCGTTAGGGTGGATTTTCAGGGATGATGTTTGCTTTCTGCCTCACACTTCAATGCTGCTTCAGAGTCTGGTTTTTAGAAGTATGCATTTTAGAAAGGACACATTTTTACAATAAGTAAAACTAATCTTTCCATTTTAAAAATTTAAAATTTCATTTTTACATAAAGAGGTTTATATTATCCCTAATTCCCAAGATTCTCAGATTTGTAGTATAGATACATACTAAATTACAGTAATATGAATAAAGGCAAAAGAAAAGGAAAACTGGGTTTCTTCATCAGTTATCAAATAGAGATGGTTGTGATGGAGAAAAACTGACCATTTTAATTATCTCTTTTTTAAATATGCTATAATGTTCTACTCAACTATGACCATCGTAACGCAGGACCATCCGCTTAGGGTGAGGAGAAATGAAGGGTGATTTCAACAGTGTGTGCTACTCTTGCTTCAGGGTTTAGGCTTGGACAGTACTTAGCTTTCTGATAAGGGGGCTAAACTAGCCTACTGTATTATGTATATAGATACAGGCTTAGATTCTCCTTTATGCTTCAAATTTAGTGCTCAGTGTACACAAACAAGAAGAATGATGTTTTGGCACCAACTCATTTCATCAAGCAAATTTTCCCCAATTTTAAGAGACACTTGGCCTGGTGCAGTGGCTCAGGCCTGTAATCCCAGCACTTTGGGAGGCTGAGGCAGGAGGATTAGTTGAGCCCAGCAGTTCAAGACCAGGCTGGCAAAATGGCAAGACCTCATCTCTACAAAAAATACAAAACTTAGCCAGGCGTGGTGGCTCATGCCTGTACTACCAGCTACTTGGGAGGCTGAGCTGGGAGGATCACTTGAGCCTGGCAGGCAGAGAGGTTGCAGTGAGCTGTGATCACGCCACTGCACTCCAGCCTGGGCGACACAGCAAAATTGTCTCTAAATTAATTAATTAATTAATTTAGGTGTATTTTAGATTAATTAAGAACACACACACACTCATTTTGAGAATGTCTGACATTGGCACTAACTGCAGTGATTAAGAACATAAGAATCCAGACCTGGACTGTCTGTGTTTAAATTCTTTTTCTGTCATTTACTAGATACAATTAGGGCAAATTAAACTCTGATTTCTCTTTTCTCAGATCTAAAATAGAGATTTTCGAAGTACTTAAATTACAGGGTTGTATAGGGGTTAAATAAGCTAATGCAGGTCAACTGCTTAAAACAGAATCTGGGACATAGTAAGTGCTCAATAAACATTCTACCATCACTATCATCAACATGTATCCATCAATTGCTTTCCTGATACCAAAAACTAAAAAATCTTTTTTCAAAATCAAAGAGAATTAAACTTCTTAGGAAAATGGAAGTTTGTAAACAGACCAGTATCATTTACTTGAATAAATTGATTTATCCTATTTGTACATTATAGCAACTGGTAACTACTTACAAAAAAGAAATGGTAACTACAAAAAAGAGGGTGAAAACCCACACAACTGTAAAAAACTAAATGCTTCAAAGTCTCCCTCTATCAGTTATAAGAATTCTGGAATTGGAGAATGAAAAAACAGAAATAAATAAGGGATGGATACTGGGAAAAACAGACTCTTCTCCTTAGAGCTCCTTCATTTACAAATGTGTTCCAGAAAACCTTCTATATAAATACACCAACTTCCATTTCCACATGACAGCACCTCATTTTAAAGCTAAAGCAAAATATTCTTACCCATCACCCTCAGAACACTGCTACCAACAGAACACATATACATCCTGAGATAACATTCAAAATAAGCCCGGGATTAGCTTGGCTGTGCCTGGACACAACCACTTGGTATACACATCTGTGTAGCTCCCACTCTAAAGAAACAATTCTTCCTTCACTTGAAAACATACTCTCAACTCTAGAAAACTTTATTATATTAATACTTTATAAAATTGCTTTTTACATATCCTATCATCCTCCCAAGATCAGACCCACCCAGATTACATGACCATTTAGGGGAAAAAAAAAAGAAAAAAAACCTTTCTCTAAACAAAAAAACCCAAAGCCTCAGAACATCTTTCCTTACACTCTTCCAAAAACACACTTCCACAAATATAACACTGACTTTTGTAAGAGTCTCTCCTCCCTTAAAACAAGGCCCTTAAAACATTCTTCTACTTAGGATGTGTGGGACTTGCTTACAAATACTAGGGGAAGAGAGAGTAGGTGGAAGTAGAGAGTGGTTGGGGGAGGAGGGGAGGAAAGAACATAGAAGAAAAGAGATTGTCCATGTAACAACAACTGATGGAGTTGTGTGATGGTTACATCAAGTTCCTCATATCATCTAGTTTTGAAGGTTTGGAAATTTCTATTAATAAAATCTTAAAACATAACTAAGAAAATACATACACCGTCAGGGTTATAGTGCCACCCTTCACTATAAATTGACCTATCTCTTCAAGGCAGAATGGCCTCATCAGGAATATACCGCTCTCCTCTGGAGACTCACCCAGTATTCACAATCCAAATGTGGACAGATTTTTATTAAACATTATGTCATCTTCCCTCCATCTGTGGACATGCTCTTTAAAAGCTATCACACTACAACATATTTCTTTCAGTCCTGTAAATATCCTACCCACTCAGCATATACCTTCCCCTGAAATAATGACAGTGAACTACTCTATAAGTTAACAAACTTCTAGCCTTCCATTCAACAAAATTCTCAGAAAGTTTGATTCAAGCTAAGAAGGCAAGGAAACAGTAACTACTGTTGACGTGATAAGTCTGAAAATTAACCTGCATGGAAAAAGTTTCTAGTAAAAGATGATGAAAATTTTAAACTAATACAATTTTATCCGAGTTTCTGCTAGTTGGAGAGAAAAAAAAAAACAAGCAAAAACATTTCAATACACATTAAAAAGTTCAAGTCTAGAAAACATCTTTAAAAAGACATTAAAGTCTTCAGAAAACTTCCATTACCAGAACATACTAAAAAAAGGTATAATCACAAATTAGCTTCTTTGTTTACTTCTTTATGTCTATCTCTTCCCACTCAAACATTTTATTTAAAAAGGACCTTATCTGTCTGGTTCACCACTGATATCCCCATTGCCTTCGACAGTGCCTGGCTCTCAACAGGTGTTCAATAACAATTTGTTAAAGAAATGAATGATCAAATAAATTTCTTCCTAAATAAGATGGTTTCATTAACTAATTCAATTTCAATGATTAGAAGTGTTCTCAGAAAAAAGAAAAAAAAAGCTAGACAAAAAGGTCAGTGGAACATGAGTTTAAATGGCATTCACATCTGTATAGTTCAAAACTAGCAAACTCCATTCAACATCAGTAAAACATAAGTGATATATCTGCAGTTCAAATACACAAAATATGCAATGTGAAAGAGTCCTGAAAGTTAAACAGGTCAAAGCAGTTCAATAGAAACTGGATCCCATCCAAGGATTGCCTGTTTTATTAGTAGAGGTAAGTTATTACTGATCTCAGCAAAGTACAGTAGAGATAGGGTTGTAGTACGAATTTTATCCTCATCTGTAGCAAAGTTTTCTTAAAAAGGAAGCTCTTCCCTTCTACTGATGACATTTTTTTCCATTAATCAGAAAATTACCTAAAATGAACTCTACTGTGATAAAATCCAAGCACATAAGTGCAGTTAAAATATTCCAACAAAAAGCAAGCAAATGTATTAAAAATCTAATAACTTTTAGGTCAAAAATAATGATAAACATCTGCCTTTAATTAGAATAGCACAGTCTTTGATTTAGTGATAGTATGCATTCAACGATTCCCTTTTAAGTTACACCTTTTAATGATTGCCATAAAGCATATCAAAGTTCTAGGTAGAAAAAACTGTCAACAGTATATCAAGTTTATCAAATTAAAGTTTGCTAGTACTCTTCATGACAGTCCGAAAAACAACTTTTTCATATGATAAATTCAACTAAAGGAAGTTTCATTCCATAAAATACCCTGGAAATAATTATGTATTCTACCCAAATAAAAAAAGAGATTTCTCTTTTATTTTGCAATATAATATGTTCTGCCCAAGAAATTTTTTTAAAGGTTGCACTTAGCAAAACCTGATTCTCCCAATGAGTTCAACAAACTTTTAAAACCCAAACTAAACTCACTTTTAGACTTTCAGAACTACTTGTTGATAAAAATGCCTAAGAAACTTTTAATTTTTAAAGTTTCAGTGAAACAATTTCAGGACAACAAATCTAGTATTCTACGTTTTCCTTTCTCCTCAGTTTTAAACACTTACAGACCATAGGAGTATATTAACCGCAGGATGCCTTGAAAGAGAAAGAAAAAAGACTGAGCGACTGATCTTGTGGAAATGATTTAAGGTGACACTTGCAGTACTTTTTTTAAGGGATCAAGCAGGGGAGATCTCTTGTTCGTACAAGCTTTTAGCTTCATAACTGGCTTATGCTGGAGAATATTATAGCCTGCTTAAGAATAACTACTGGGGCAGGAGGAAAAAAACAACTAGAAAGAGAAGGCAGAGTGGCTCTGATGGAAGGCAAAGCAACTGGGGATGAAGAGGGGTCTACCTGGTTCACAGCATCCGTGATGATGGTGGTCAGTCTGACAGTATTTGTCCCTTAAAGGCATTTTCAGTGGACTCGACCTACTTTCCTTTTACTGCAAGAAGCTCTTCATTGCGGCGTGGCTGTTGAAAGAAGCACAAACCCGTCACTCGCCCTGAACTTCCTGGGGGGTACTGGTTGCATTTTCCAGATACGTTCCCATCATCAGCCATCCGTTTTCCCTCCACGGACCCGCACCTCCCTCTCGAAAAGAAAACAGAAAGACGCACAAACCCTCCTGCAGCCCAAACTCCCCACACAGGTTCATCGCCCTACCCGGAAACGCAGCTTCGGGTGCGCAACGCAGGGCGAAGGCCTGGCCAGCTACGCGGGCGGCTGCGGCCTCGCCGTCCCCGGCGGGCGCGCGGCGACGGAGCGCGGAGCGCGGCGGGCACCGCCGGGCTCTGGGACTACAGAGGTGCGGCTCCCGCCGACTGCGGGCTCACGCCGCGCCCTCCCGCTACGCACGTGCGTTGGGGTCTCCCTGGCGGCGACCCCGTTCCCACAACCAAGTGCGCCCAACTTACTCAACTCCTAGGGCGGGCCGGCGGGCGGAAGGAAGGAAGGCAGGCCGGGCAGCCGCGGGGACAGCCTGGCGTGGGAGGCTGCTGCGGGCCCCACCTGGCGCAGCCTCCGCTGACCACGCGAGGGAACCCGGACTCGGGCCCGACGCGTTCCCAAAGAGTCCCCGCCGGCGCTGACGCGGAAGCGCCACAGCTCACCACGTCCCTCCGCGGGCCGAGGCGACTGCGGCGGCGGCGGCTTACGGCGTCCTCCGCGCTGTGTGGCTAGGCGGGTGGCGCGCGGGCGGAGGCAGTTGACAGGAGGAACCGCCCGGCAGCAGCCGCCGCCGCCACCGAAGGAGCCGGAACCGGAGCGGGTAGGACCTGAGGCTCCCCTCGCCGGGGCAACGGCTGCCGCCGCAGCCCGGGTCCTTCCAGCGCCGCTCCACCTGCAACGGTCCCTCAGGCTTTAGGAGAGGGGCGGGGAAGAATGGGGGTCTCCCCCCACCTTGGGCCTTTTCGGTGGTAGTTGTTGTTTCAGGAAACTTTATTAAGTCAGTCTCTCTTTTTCTCTGTCGTTCCCTCCTCCGGAGAGCCCGAGCTACCGCCGCGGAGCGCGTAGGAAGGGGGAAGCAGAGACTCTCCGGCAGCGACAGGGAGCGACTGACTGACCCCGGACGGAGATGGGGCGAGGGCAGGAAGTGACAAGCTCACCGAGTGGGTGGGGGGAGTGTGGCCGGCACGCCCGGCAGCGCCGCGCGCATGCGCCCGGTCGGCGCCCCCGCTTGTGGGGAGGCGACGCGCTGTACCCGCTGCGGCCGGTGGGGAGGGGACCGGGTCCGCGGGCGCGAGGGCCGTGTCCAAGGGGAGGGAACCGGGGCAGGGGACACCAGGGCCGCGGCCGGAGTCTCGGGCCGACCGAGAGCCGAAGCCCAGGGTGAGGTGTGAGGTCTGCGGTGCGGCGTGCGCGCCCACGGAGACGGGTTGCTCCGCCACCAAACTGTTGCTCTCGGCGTTCTCTGTACAGTGGAACTGAAACTCGGGGAGGGTTAGGAGAGGGCTTAGGAAGCGGTGAGCAGATGTATGAGCCGTAAGTAGTGATGATCCCCAAAAGGCTGTCAGTGCATTGCTAAATGGCAAAAATTGAACTTATTTTTTTCTTGCCAACAATTTTCGAAGCGTGCCTCCCGGAACTTGGGGGTTGTTTTATCAGGCCCAAGGGAGGGAAAGCATCTATTGGTAGCAGATGGATATTTATCCCGGCAGCTCCGCTTCTCAAACCTGAAAGTGGAGTTGGGTCACGTGAGCTCACGCCTTTTCCCTCCTCTTCTGCGCCCGCATCCTGCTTGGAAAATCCCCGAAGATCCCAGACATCTGTCAAATTCTGCCAACCGAGGACCGCTTCTTGGGGGCGAGGGAACCGCCCCCGTCGTTTTCCTCCCAGCTCCTGGAACGTAATTCTTGCTCTTGGTGACATCAAGCAAATATGTGTCCACTGTCAGGAAATTTTAAGAGAATAAAGCCCATTCGCCTTATCTCCGATCCTCCCCAAGATCCACTGAAAACCTTTCCAGTTGGTCCAGCTTAAGCTGCCATTGTGCGGGGTCCTGGAAAAACTGAAGTTTAGTAGATAGACTTTGTTTAGAAGAGAAAAAGTTTGGTTTTCAAAATCCAAAGGAAAGATTGTAAATTAATACATTTGTTACTTTAAAAGCCAGGCGCAGTGGCTGGTGCTTGTAATCCCAGCACTTCGGGAGGTCAAAGCGGGAGGATCGCTTAAGCCCAGGAGTTAAAGACTCCTTTAACTGGCAACATGGCAAAACCCCCTCTCAACCAAAAAAAAAAAAAAAAAAAAAAAAAAATAGCCGGGCAGGATGGCGCGTGCCTGTGGTCCCAGCTACATAAGAGCCTGAGGCAGAGGGTGGGGGACGGTGGTGGATGGCTTGGATCCAGGAGGTGAAGCGTTTGCATTAGGTCTCCGGGGACTGCAGCAGCTTGATTATAGGGGATGACAAGAAAAGGATAGATTATCTTAAACACACACCAGTTCCATAAGCGGTATGATCATATATATCGGTCCAATAGTCGAGAGGCATCACTTAACGTGAAACTAAAACATGACATGCCACAGTTTATAAATTAATGTAAAATAAGTTATGATACTTCTGTGATAGTGTTTGTTATGCAACCAATAAAAATCACATTTTGTATAAAATTTAGTTGTATGGGATATGCTTAAGCAACAAAGGAAGTATTTTGAAGTGTGATACTTTAACAGTGGGCTGTAACGGTGCAATTATGAACGATTTTTATTTTCTTTATTCTTCTGTATACTTTGCAAAATTTGTAAATTAAGCATATAAAACTTTAATAAGCAGAAAAATTGATTTTGAAACGCAGTAAGAAGGCTGTAATCATATGAAAAATGATATACAATAATAAAGCGCAATGTCACTCCAAAAAATGCAGTGAAAAAAGACTGAAAGAAACATAAAAATATCTATATTGGAGATCTTTGAGTGGTAAAATGTGAGGTGAAATATTTTCTGCATTTTCAGAGGATCTTTTCCTACTTTTATGTAATAAACATATTTATCATAGGCTTAAAAATGAATATGCAAGTCTAAATTGCCTTAACCCTGAAAAAGCTTTGCTTCAGATATATCAGTTGTTTGCTGACCAGGTGTGAGGGGAAAAAAAAAAAAAAAAAAAAACAGTATGTTTTGTGAGCAAATGTAGTGTTATTTATATTCTAATGCAAAGTGGTCAGTACTAGAGAGTCCTCAAAATTGCTTGCTAACAGAGTAAGTTTAGACAATCTTTGAATGATTAGAATTAGAGTCAAGATTAAATGTGCGTGTGGGTAAAACAAATATTAAACATATCTATAAAAATGAAATAATCCGCTTGAACCCGGGAGGCGGAGGTTGCAGTGAGCCGAGATCGCGCCACCGCATTCCAGCCTGGCAACAGAGTGAGACTCCGTCTCTAAAAAAAAAAAAAGAAAGAAAAGAAAGAAAGAATCAAAAATTGAGACCCAGAGAGATTAAGTAATGTGCCAGTCAGTAGGAACTTGGGGTCAGGACCTAGATTACTCCCTACTATAATTAACAGTACTACTATTTGACATGTATTGAGTAGTTAATATGTTTTAAACTCAATATTAGCTCATTTAATCCTATCAACAATTTAATGAGGTTTTGCTATCCTTCCATTCTACAGGTGGGAAAACTGGGGTAAAGAGAGTTTAGATGACTTAACAAGTGGTATGATTTGGCTGTGTTCCCCCCCAAATCTCATCTTGAATTGTAGTCCCTGTAATCCCCACGTGTTGTGGGAGGGACTCAGTGGGAGGTAACTGAATCATGGAGGTGGTTTCCCTCATGCTGTTCTCCTGCTAGTGAGTTCTCATGAGATCTGATGGTTTTATAAGCATGTGGCATTTCCCCTGCTGGCACTCATTCTCTGTCCTGCTGCCCTGTGAAGAGGTGCTTTCTGCCATGATTGTAAGTGAGGCCTCCCCAGGCATGCAGAACTGTGAGTCAATTAAACCTCTTTTCTTTATAAACTACCCAGTCTCAGGTATTTTCCTTAAAGCAATGTGAGAATGGACTAATACACCAAGGTTACAGCTGATAGGTAGCTGAGCCATCATTTGACCGCAAGCAGTTTGGCTCTGGAACTCGTGAACTTAGCCATCACACTGTACCATCTATACTATGCTACCTTCACTATGCCATAGCTGTTTTGGTTCACATTGTATGTGAAAGACAAGCCAGTAGATCCTGCCAGTTGTGAAAGGTATTGCGTATTAAAATGCTATGTGCAAGTTCATGAAGTGGAAATGAGTTGCTAAATTACCAGAATTTAATTGAAATTTCACAGGGCTCTAGAGCTTAAAGGAACCTTAGACATCATCTAGAATTATCACCCTACCTCTAAAAACAATGCACACAAACCATCCCAAGAAAGATCTGCCTTCCCTTTCATTGTTCACTGCAGCAACCTAGGTGACACATTACTTTTTCATCCTGAAAGTCTAGAAGTGCATTGTAATGGTTAACGTAAATCCATTTTATAGTTTAAAATTCTCTCGTCCTCAAAGTGGAAGAACACTCTCTCTCTCTCATACACACATACACATATGCGGTATATTATTGCTGTATAGCCACCCAGAATTGGTGGCTTAAAGTCATTTTATGTGCTCTCAATTCTGAAGATTAGCAATTTGGGCTAGCCTTGTCTAGGGTGACCCACGCAGATGCTACAGTCATCTAGCGGCTTGACTGGGTACAGTCACATGGTATTTGGTGTTGGCTGTTGGCTGGACCTCTCTTCTTGTAGCCTTTCAACCTCAAGGAGACTAGCCTGGGTTTCCTCATACATTGGCAGCATGCCAAGCCAGTAGAGAGTAGAAATTACAAGATTTCTTGAGGCCCTCAGTTCAGAATTTATATGACAACACTTCCACTACATTTTGTTAGTCAAGTCAAAGAGCCAGCCTAAATTCAGGATGTAGACACTTAGACTTGCCTCTTGCTGGGAGAAGCAGCAAAATCACATTGCAAAAGGATATGCATTCAGGAATAGGAGGAATTATTGTGATGATTTTCACATTTAATCTCTCACAATATATAATTATTTTGAAAATAATACTAGCTAATTAAAGCTGCTGATTTTTTTAATGCTTTTTTAAGAACAGTAAAACAAGGAAACACTAGTCAGACTTATTCTTACAACTGACGGAGTCAGTCTGGTGGCCTTCTATAAATACATTTTGGTGATTCCTTAAGTTTTCTTGCTGAACTTGTTTTTCTCATCAAATGTTGTTTTAAGATTCATTCTTAGTTTTCCATCTATTCTAAGCAGATCCCACTAAAACACAGCATAAGAACCTAATATCAAGTAGAAGCAATTATAGTTCCTAAAGGACCTGTGTACTCTGGTCCAGATTTTGACAGCTTTGATTATGATGTGGCATTTTACCACACATAACTAAATCCAAAATGATGCAGAAATCAAATTATGAGCCAAGATAGGGTCTGAGATTATAGAAAGGTCATGGAAAAATTGATTTAGAAGGACAAATATTAAATTGTTGATCTGTTATCAATTATGTAGAACATAACACCTAAGTATTTCGCAAACAACATAACATGAAAAACGAAGATAATCCTTTCCCTAAAATGCATGTTTTAAGGAGGGTGGGGAGTAGTTATAACTGGGTTGCTACCCTGGAGGTAAGCTGCCTACTGGAGAACTGCTGACATGGCTTCGTATCTTCCATTCCCTGTGCTAAAGGCACTCATAGGTCTTGCCGACCAAATGACACAATGATGCATGTACCATGCTGCCTTGTGGCTATCAAACCATACCTTATAGATCTTTCATTTAAATGCATTTCATGTAGCATTTAAGCGAATTCCATGGGGAAAAAAGGGTTTTTGTTATAGTAAGTTAGCTATTAGAGTAATAATAAAAATATTAGCTGTATTGCAATCTAATAATAGCTAATGATAATTTTGTCATTTACTGAACTCAGACAACATGCTAAGTGCTGTTTATTTTTCCATCAAATCCTTACAAAGATCCTGGATTAGATATCCCATCTTACCAATAAGGAAACAGACAATGGGTGTCTGAGCTAGACCTAGATCTTTAAACCTAAATCTATCTGAGTCCAGGGCCTGTGCTTCCAGTTACATATATATTCTGATGATTCCTAAAGTTTTATCTCCAGGTCAGACCTGTTTCTAGAG